AATCAAGTTGATCATCCTAAAGGGGAAGCCAGGAGATCCATAGCACAGGGTATCCTAGTTTGGACTCGTCTCCCATGCTCTTTGTTTTGTGGAAAAAATATGTTTGAAAAAGATAAACTGCAATGTACTATTTGTGGGAAAAAATAATAAAGGTCATTATTATTATTATCGGTAATGTGGACTAACAGTGCTGCTATAAAAGAGTTAATAACCCGCTAGTCGCTAAAATATTGAAATGTGTGCTAAATACACCAAAAAGCGCTGGATTAAGCTAGGGCTAAAATTTCGAAATGCGCGCTATACATTCCAAAAAAGCGCTAAATCTAGTTCCCAAAGCGCTAAAGTGGCAGTACTGATTTTGCGTATATTATAAATACAATATCACGACATTTCGTTACAAAATTTTTATTTTTGGTCGGATTCCGTTGTATGGCTTCGATGGATACAAAATTTCTTCAGTAAGTCTCAATACGATTCATCGGCGAAAAATCTCATCACAGCAATTCAGAAAAGTTTGTAATTTGTACAACTCCATCTATTACGTCCTTTGTGTGAGAAAACATCCTTTTTAAATCTCTTTTTGTGTTTTAAGTATAAATATATTAATTATTATGGAACGTTTTTTTTACACACAAATCTTTTTATTACTATTTCTGAGATTTTATGGCGCCATTGAACAAATTCGAACCTACATTTCAAAATAATAATCATTACTTTCGATAGAATTAACCAATTTTAATAAAACAAAGATTAAATGTAACTCGAAGATACGCTTTATGATTTTCTTAACGATTTCTTTGAAAATAAAAGATGTTTACTTTAGACGTGATGCGTTCATATAATAACAGACAAATAGACATACAGACAATTCTAAAAATTATAAAATGTTCTTATTTAATTATTTTCAGTTCCCCATAATGATTTTAGCCACCAAAATATATACCTATACAATGTACAGAAAGAGACACAACATGTTATCATCATTTTTATTATATGTATATATTTAAAGAGAGATGGCGCTGCTAACATCAATTCTAAAAATAAAAGAGATTAATTGACGCGATTGATACATTATATAAAACGCAAGAGTACTTATAAATCAGTGCCTGCACAGTAAGCAAAAAATAAAGTTTGACTCTCGCCAAAACCAACGATTTGTTAATAGCTCTTTTAAAATTTGATTTACCACATAGAGTACTCGGCGGTAAAGAATAAATTGAGTTTATCAACACGCAGTAGGGCAGCGAGTAATATAATAAAGATTAGCAGTAAATATGAAAACTCATCTACAGGAAAAAAAACATTGCAATTGCATTACATTTTCACAACATCACCATCTATCGAAGAAATGGGAAAACTATTGTGCTTCAGATTTAGTTAATAAGGTTAATATATTTTTGTATAATATCTATACATATAATAAAACTGTAAATAGCAGATGTCTGTACATTTTATATTTTTGTAATAAAAGTGATTGAGGGGTACTAAAAATAAGTAATTAAATACATTTCTACCATTTTTAGAATTTTCTGTCTGTCTGTCTGTCTGTCTGTCTGTCTGTTTGTTTGTTAACGTATCACGTATAAAGTACTAATTTATATCATAAGAATTGTTAAGGAAATTATAAAGTGTATCTTCAGGTTACATTTAGTCTTTATTTCATTAAAATCAGTTCATTCCATCAAAAGTTATGATAAATATTCTGAAGTATGGGTAGGGAAGTAAAGGTACGAATTTGCTCAACGGTGGCTTTGTTTGAGTCATCAAGTGCATTTTAAACTAATATCATATCATAAATCATAGTTAAATTATGTAAAATAATGATATAATTATGTATATCTAAAACGCAGTAAACAAAAGTATTAAAGAACGTATTAAATATATTATACAAAAATATATTAACCTTATTAACTAAATCTGAAGCACAATAGTTTTCCCATTTCTTCGATAGATGGTAGTGTTGTGAAAATGCAATGTGGTTTTTTCCTGTAGATGAGTTTTCATATTTACTGCTAATCTTTATTATATTACTCGCTGCCCTACTGCGTGTTGACAAACTCAATTTATTCTTTACCGCCGAGTACTCTATGTGGTAAATCAAATTTTAAAAGAGCTATTAACAAATCGTTGGTTTTGGCGAGAGTCAAACTTTATTTTTTGCTTACTGTGCAGGCACTGATTTATAAGTTCTCTTGCGTTTTATATAATGTATCAATCGCGTCAATTAATCTCTTTTATTTTTAGAATTGATGTTAGCAGCGCCATCTCTCTTTAAATATATACATATAATAAAAATGATGATAACATGTTGTGTCTCTTTCTGTACATTGTATAGGTATATATTTTGGTGGCTAAAATCATTATGGGGAACTGAAAATAATTAAATAAGAACATTTTATAATTTTTAGAATTGTCTGTATGTCTATTTGTCTGTTATTATATGAACGCATCACGTCTAAAGTAAACATCTTTTATTTTCAAAGAAATCGTTAAGAAAATCATAAAGCGTATCTTCGAGTTACATTTAATCTTTGTTTTATTAAAATTGGTTAATTCTATCGAAAGTAATGATTATTATTTTGAAATGTAGGTTCGAATTTGTTCAATGGCGCCATAAAATCTCAGAAATAGTAATAAAAAGATTTGTGTGTAAAAAAAAAACGTTCCATAATAATTAATATACTTAAAACACAAAAAGAGATTTAAAAAGGATGTTTTCTCACACAAAGGACGTAATAGATGGAGTTGTACAAATTACAAACTTTTCTGAATTGCTGTGTTGAGATTTTTCGCCGATGAATCGTATTGAGACTTGCAGAAGAAATTTGTATCCATCGAAGCCATACAACGGAATCCGACCAAAAATAAAAATTTTGCAACGAAATGTCGTGATATTGTATTTATAATATACGCAAAATCAGTACTGCCATTTTAGCGCTTTGGGAACTAGATTTAGCGCTTTTTTGGAATGTATAGCGCGCATTTCGAAATTTTAGCACCTAGCTTAATCCAGCGCTTTTTGGTATATTTAGCACACATTTTAATATTTTAGCGACTAGCGGTTTATTAACCCTTTTATAGCAGCACTGTTAGTCCACATTACCGATAATAATAATAATGACCTTTATTATTTTTTCCCACAAATAGTACATTGCAGTTTATCTCTTTCAAACATATTTTTTCCACAAAACAAAGAGCATGGGAGACGAGTCCAAACTAGGATACCTTGTGCTATGGATCTCCTGGCTTCCCCTTTAGGATGATCAACTTGATTTTTTTACCGACGACTATAAGCGGGGAAATCCCCTTTATTAAAGTTTTTGTTCATGGTTTTGGCAACGCATTTATTTTGCTTTATTCAGTTTCAGTCAGTTGCTTAGAGCACAGCTATTAAGTTAAAAGTTACTTAGAAGTTATAACACAAAGAAACTGTGTAGCAACCGCAATCAGATGCTGACATCTGAAACTAAGTTGCAAAATACATTGCACTTTAAAACAATTAATGACATTTTTATTGTTCGTACAGTACTAACTACTGTTGACAGCAATTGCCATAATTATAAGTCGATGTCCTGCGAAGTATTGATACATCAAAAAAATATTGCCAGAAAAAAAACTTAATGTTGTTTTCTTTATTATGATTATATAAAAAAACACAAACTTTGTTTGTAGTTAATTTAACGCGAAATCTAGGGCTTTTTTAAAGCGCTGTTTTCATGAAATCTAGCGCTTTTTGTGTTGTCCTAGAGCTGAATTAGTTTTTTTTTTATCTGGCAGCACTGCCCAAAAACCCTCTATTAAGAAGTAACTTTCCTTTCAGTTTTAAGCGCGTTCAGTTCCCAGTTACAGTGAGCGTGTGTTATGCGATGACCGTAAATAAAGCGCAAGGTCAAACTTTACGCGTTGTAGGAGTGTACCTCAGTACTGACTGTTTTGCACATGGCCAACTCTATGTTGCTTTTTCCCGCGTTAGTAGCCCCCGTAACCTTTTAGTGTACACCCCGGCTAAGCCTACTTCTCACGTCGTTTACACAGAAGCTCTATCATAAACGACTTAGAACTTTGATGATAATGATTTATTTAGTTACCACTTATTGATACAGTAATGAAATAAATCGTTTAATATTCTCCTACCTAAACGACAAATTGTTTATGTAAAACCTGTATACGCGAGCTACGCCGCGGGCACAGCTAGTATTTAATACGTTTTTTAATACTTTTGTTTACTGCGTTTTAGATATACATAATTATATCATTATTTTACATAATTTAACTATGATTTATGATATGATATTAGTTTAAAATGCACCTGATGACTCAAACAAAGCCACCGTTGAGCAAATTCGTACCTATACTTCCCTACCCATACTTCAGAATATTTATCATAACTTTTGATGGAATGAACTGATTTTAATGAAATAAAGACTAAATGTAACCCGAAGATACACTTTATAATTTCCTTAACAATTCTTATGATATAAATTAGTACTATATACGTGATACGTTAACAAACAAACAGACAGACAGACAGACAGACAGACAGAAAATTCTAAAAATGGTAGAAATGTATTTAATTACTTATTTTTAGTACCCCTCAATCACTTTTATTACAAAAATATAAAATGTACAGACATCTGCTATTTACAGTTTTATTATATGTATAGATGTAGCACGAATGAGTCGACTCGTCCGGCGTAGGACCACGCCCTCACAGAATGCTAGCGTAAAATAGCTGATCAATGCTGCTGTGTTTCGTATGGTGAGTGTAGAGAACCGGAGACCCCTTTTACAGGAAACAAAGCATTCCATTTTAGTCTTCAGGGGTGACAACACATCTACAATTTGATTCTTAAACTAGGATAGATGTAGATGTCTATTGGTCAGTGTTCACTTACCATCAGGTGGACTGTGTTGCTTATTTGTCACCCTTATTCTATAAAAGTAAAACACTATTACCAGGTAACTGCGTTCTTTAAGAAATTATAATAACTTTCAATGACCTGTGTGCGTCCGCATATGAATGAGTCGATATGAAGAGGCGCGGAACGTTTTGGTGCAGTACTCGCACTTGTAGTTTCTCTCGCCGGTGTGAATACGTCTGTGAACGTTGAGCGAGTAACGCCGGGCGAACTCCTTATTGCAGAACTCGCACTTGAAATGTTTCTGTTCAAAAATATAATTCATTATACACAAAAACTGAATAAATGGGTTATTATGATACAAATTAATACATGGTTGACAGTAACCCCTAGGAATGAGCTAGTTGCTTTGAAGCTGTTTCTTAAATAAGTTTTGTATGTAGTTTTGAACACCTTTGTTATTGTATAATTAATTTACTTTGAAAGAAAAGTCGTGTCGTGGGTGTCGTAAAAAGCGACAAAGGGAAACAGGCAGGAGATGGGCAGCAGCATCTTCCTGATAACAGAAAATTATAATAAAAAAAAACTGCGGTTGCCAACCCGCTCGCCAAGCGTGGCAACTATGGCAAATACCCCCCATGACAAAAAGACGGCCCCCAGTCTCAGGCGGCCATGCTATTCCTGGCTACGGTGGCGACCATGATAACGGTGGGGCAGGGGGTGCTAAGAATCTCCGGTGGAGGTTCGGTTGCCACCTAAGACGACTCGACCTGGCAACGTACAACGCATGCACCCTGAGGACTGACGAGAAGATCGTGGAGCTGGAAGAAGAGATAGACAAATTACGCTGGCATATTATAGGATTATCCGAAGACCGAAGAGAGCAGGAGGACACGGTAATCCTCGAATCCGGCAACTTGCACTACCACCGGGAGGGCGACCATCGGTCCCAAGGAGGTGTCGGATTTATCGTCCACAAGTCTCTCGTTAACAACGTTGTAAAGATCGGGAGTGTGTCGACGAGGGTTGCGTACCTTATACTCAGAATCACCAAACGATATTTGCTGAAGGTCATACAGGTTTACGCACCAACCTCGGCACACCCCAATGAGGAGGTGGAGGAAATGTATGAGGATATCTTTAGAGCCATGCATTCCTCCAAAACCCAATATACGGTGTTAATGGGAGACTTCAATGCAAAACTAGGCACAAGAGAGAACGGTGAGCTGAAAGTGGGGAAATTTGGAATAGGGCAACGGAACCCAAGGGGCCAGCAGCTGGCCGACTTCATGGAGAAAGAGGGACTCTTTATGATGAACTCTCTCTTCCAGAAGCGGACAGAAAGTGGACCTGGTCGAGCCCCGACGGTTCCACAAAAAATGAGATTGACTTCATTATGACGACCAGACGACAACTGTTCAGTGATGTCTCCGTGATCGCGAAGGTGAAAACTGGTAGCGATCACCGAATGGTTAGAGGCACACTGAACCTAAACGTTAAGTTGGAGAGGTCTCGTCTAATGAAGTCAACGCTCCGTCCCCCTCATGCTTTGTTCCAAAGTCCTGCAACCTTTCAGCTCGAGTTACAAAACCGTTTTCAGTGCCTAGAAGACTGCAATGAAGTGGACGATATAAATGACAAGCTCGTGGAAACTGTCCTTGCGGTCGGAGCTAAGTTCTGCAAGATCCGCCGCAGAAGAACACAAAAACTCTCCGATCACACTCTTAATCTCATGGCTGTTAGACGGGAGATGAAGCTGCATTCTTGAACAGACTTGACAGCATACAGGCAACTGAACAGGCAGATCTCCAAATGCATGCGGCGGGACTTACGCAACTTCAATACAGCTTGTATTGAAAAAGCGATCGAGCGGAACCAAGGCTCCAAAGTCTTTGCCAGGGATCTGTCTGCCAGAAAGAGCCAACTGTCAAAGCTGAAGACCGAGTGTGGCAGCATCGTTTCCGGGGCACCTGAGATTTTGAGTGAGATTGAGAGGTTCTATGGACAGCTGTACACGTCATCGTTGGAGCCACACGTAAGTGTGAGTAACGATCTAAGAGCGAGTCTTATCCGACACTATTCCGAAAATATCCTGGACGTAAAATATCCAGTCTGAGCGAGATTAGAATGGCTCTCCAGCATCTTAAAAACGACAAAGCCCCAGGCGAGGATGGAATTACAGCGGAGCTTCTGAAAGTGGGTGGAAAACCGGTACTTGAAGTCCTTCAGAGGCTCTTTAATTCCGTCCTCCATGATGGCATTACACCGGAGGCGTGGAGCAGAAGTGCGGTGGTCTTGTTCTTCAAGAAAGGCGATAACGCTCTCTTGAAGTACTACAGACCGATTTCCCTTCTGAGCCACGTCTACGTGCTGTTTTCGAGAGTCATTACGAATTGTCTCGCGCGCAGACTTGACGACTTCCAGCCTCCCGAGCAAGCCGGTTTCCGAAAGGGCTTTAGCACCATAGACCACATACATACCCTTCGGCAAGTTGTACAGAAGTCCGAGGAGTACAATTTGCCACTATGTCTGGCGTATGTGGACTATGAGAAAGCCTTTGATTCCGTCGAAATTTTAGCGGTGCTGCAGTCCCTTCAGCGGTGCCAAGTTGACTGTCGGTATATCGAAGTGCTGAAGTGCTTGTACAGTAGGGCTACGATGGCTATCCGAGTACAGAACCAGAGCACGAAACCTATCCAATTGCAGAGAGGTGTAAGACAGGGTGACGTTATATCCCTGAAACTCTTCACCGCTGCATTGGAAGACGTTTTCAAGCTTCTGGACTGGAAAGTATACGGTATTAACATCAATGGCGAGTACATCACTCACCTTCGATTTGCCGACGATATAGTCCTTATGGCAGAATCGCTGGAGGACCTAAGCACTATGCTCAATGACCTCAATAGTGTCTCCCAACGGATAGGTCTTAAGATGAACATGGACAAAACTAAGATTATGTTCAATGTCCATGTCACACCTATACCGGTAGTTGTTGGGAGCACTAAGCTCGAAGTTGTTGACGAGTATGTTTACCTGGGACAAATAGTCCGACTAGGTAAGTCCAACTTCGACCGAGAGGTCAATCGACGGATTCAACTCGGCTGGGCAGCGTTCGGGAAAATACGACACATCTTCTCGTCAGACATACCTCAAAACTTGAAAACGAGACTGTACACCCAGTGCGTGTTGCCAGTGATGACATACGGAACTGAGACGTGGTCCTTCACTGCTGGTCGGATGAGGAAGCTCAAGGTCGCTCAGCGAGTTATGGAGAGGGCTATGCTCGGAGTTTCTCTGCGTGATAAACTTAGAAATGAGGATATCCGCAGTAGAACCAGTGACCGACATAGCCCAACGGATTAGTAAGCTGAAGTGGCAATGGGCCGGCCATATAGCTCGAAGAACCGACAACCTATGGGGAAGAAAGGTTCTTGAGTGGCAGCCTCGTACCGGTAGGCGACCCCCCACGAGATGGAGTGACGACCTGGTAAGACATGCAGGAGGTCGATGGATGCAGGTGACTCAGGACCGTGCTTTGTGGCATTCCTTGGGGGAGGTCTATGTTCAGCAGTGGACTTATGAAAGGCTGTAATGATGATGATGATGAAAGAAAAGTCCCGCTGGGTTTCTTGTCGGTTTTTCTCATGTCAGAGGTTTTTCTCGAACCAATGGTAAAAGTAAAAAAATACTTTCAATAACAATTATATGTAATCTTCTATCTATATTGAATAAATCTCTATCCTATTCGCATTCGATTTGTTTTAATTATCACGCATGTCAGGGGAATTGACGATAGCAGTACAGTGCGATCCAAACTTAATGAAGGCTGTGAAATTAGGCGCAAGACACTGCGCAATAGCGAATTTTGTTCACAGAATACCAGCGTGCAATAGTAAGCTGCTATTTCAGCTTAACGCTGCTGTGTTTAGTATGGTGAGTGTAGAGAACTGGAGAACTTAAAGAAAACGAGGCATTCTATTCATTCATTAAAGCCTATTAAGTCGACAGTTGAAAATAGGTCCCTTTTATATGTGTTTTTTATTTGTATGTGATTATATCTTTAGTTGCCGTTGCCATATCATTAGGAAGACGTTGATTTTTTTATAGGATAAGGGTGACAAACGAGCACACAGTCCACCTGATGGTAAGTGGTTGCTGTGACCCATAGACATCTACATCTATCCTCGTTTACGAATCAAAATGCAGATGCGTTGCCACCCGTGAGGACTAAGATGGATTGCCTCATTTCCAGTAGAAAGGGCCTCCGGCCACCTGCACTCACCAAGCGAAACGCAGAGGAAAACCTCTACTTCACGCTGGTTTTCTGTGAGGTCGTGATACCACCCCGGTTCGAGCTGGCCCATCCGTGCGACAGCAAAAGCTGCCGCGTGGCTCTACCACTGTCAATGCCCATCTCCTATTTGAAGTCTCTGTCACCCTGTATCTGTTTCCCTCTGTTACGATACCCACAGGATTATATGGGGGTAGTTGATATTCTTTAGCCGGCACTTCACTGGTCTCGGCCTGTATTGAGGTTGTGTTGATTAAATATAAACACAAATAGTGATATTGACAAAACCAAACATAAAAATATGTATTAATTATGTACTTGTTTTTTTTTAAACAAACTGTGTGGTACTGACCTGGTCTGAGTGTATGGAGGCCTTGTGGTACTTGAGGTCGCTCCACTGCCGGAACGAGCGCCCGCATTCGTCACAAGCACACGGTCTATCGTCGCTGTGCACGCGCCGATGTACCTGTAATATGAATAAATTAATGAATCCGTTTGTTCTCGCTTGAAAATAGGTTAAACCTTAAGTATATCTAAAGTAAAAGAGAAGTTCCAAATTGGCATCTCACTTGTGAGAAATTGGTGCCTGATGTAGGTATAAACAACCTATATTACAGGTCACCAGGGCTCTCCCACGGATAGAGAAAACAATACGAAAATAACACGTTACAGTTTACAGTATTCTTTCTCGCACGACTTTGTTGTGGAATGGTTTACCATCAGCCTTTTAGATCTTTGAAGTTATTAAAGTTCGCCTTTTATAAGAATATTATTATTTTTAAACTAAAACTTTTAAATGTATAAGAGTGGTCTCTTTGGTAATTCAAACATTGAGAATCTATGAATTTACTAGCTCGCCAGGCAGACGTTGCTCTGCCCTTTCCAACGACCCTTCCTATAAAAATCCTTAAATTCGCAAGAAAACATTTTGAAGGTCATTTATCGAGATAAAAACTATCCTATCTCTCAAGTTGGACCAAAATGCACCTGTGTGCAAAATTTCATTGAGATCAGTTTCGTACTTTACGAGTCCATCGCGGACAAACAACGTGACACGTAATTTTTATATATAAAGATGTTATGTTATAAAATGATATTGAAGTTAAAAATAATAATAAAATTCCTTTTTTTGTGTGAAATCGCAACCAAAGTTTTGTTCAAAACTTTGTTCAGTCATATAAAATCATCAAAAATCGTCAAAAATCAATTATTTTATATATTTTTCGAATTCACAAAAAACCGTGCATATTTTTCTGATAAAAGACCCTAGATCACAATTGCCAGTAGGCACTATTCTCTATATTAACGAGAAGTTTCGTCACAATAGGTTCAGTCATTCTAAATATAAGCCCAAATATGCAGACCAAAAACTATGTTCAAAGTATGCAAATAAGCATCTGAAATTAATGGAAGTCAGTTTTTTTAATAGAATAAGGGTGACAAACGAGCACGCAGTAAACCTCCATATCTACATTTATCCTCGATTATGAATCAAGATGCGATATTACCGCTGAGGACTACCATGGAATGCCTCTCCGTCTCCGGTTCTCTAAATTCACAACACAAAACACAGCAGCATTAAGCTGCTGTTTTACGTTGGTATTCTGTGAGAGCGTGGTCCTTCTCCGGTCGAGCCTACACATTCGTGCTACAACCATAACCATTTATTTCGATATTACTGACAGACATTTCTTAAGTATTTTAAATGAGTAACTCACCTTTAAAGAATTAGCAGTATAGAAACTCTTATTACAATCTTTGCAGATGTGTTGCTTTTCTCCATGCATCAGCATATGATACAATAAACTATTCCTATGGAAAAAGACCCTGTCGCACAACGGACAATCGAATTTCTTTTTTTTCTTCTCCCCAGGGTCCACTTGGGCCTTTTGCTCCTCTTCGTGGGGAGGTTCTGGTGGAGGGATACCTTCTAGATTGTCAGAGATTACTCCCTCATTGTAGTTGGGATTATCTTGATTGTGAACTTCATCTTCAAATATTGTATGTAAAACTTCCTCTGTAAAGAATTTAAAATGATCCATATCTGCCATTTAAAGTATCTGTTATATCCAGCTCGAAGGACCAACATCAATCTAATTATTTTTTTTAAATCTTCATGCAAAATTTACGCAAAACAAAGTATTTTGCGTAAATTTTGTTAATAATATAATATTATTAATAAATCTTATACAGTTATTGAGAAGGCGTTCCAGCTTGTTCAGGATATCCTGGGACATATCCGGGTAACACACATCTGCATAATCAATTATGGGTAATATGAGCGATTGGACAAGCATGATCTTAGACTTTGTGGGGAGAAAATGTTTTAAACGATACAGAGAACATAACGTGGCAGTGACTTTACGACTCACTTCAGTAACCTGAGTTCTCCAATTCAGCGTGCTATCAATGTGTAGACCAAGATTTTTTATAGACTTACTGAACGGTATTGTAATCCCATTGTAATAGATAGGGGGTATGTCTGCAAGATTAATCTTGGTATCTTGGCATTTCGAAGGATTGACCAACACTCCATAACGAGTAGACCAATCCGTGATAGCTGATAAGTTGTCATTTATTTTTTACTCCCATTATAGATACCCTCATTTTAACCTTCACGTATAGCTGAAGGTCATCGGCATACAGACGGTACGAGCAATCGAAGATGGAGGTAATAAAGTTTATAAAAATTGAAAAAATTATAGGAGAAAGAATACCGCCTTGCGGCAGGCCAGCTTCCACATCAGCCCAAGCTGAGGTTATTTGCCCCACACAGATTGACTGCTGTCGACCGTGAAGATAAGATGCAAACCATTCCAATGCTGTAGGGCCAAAATTTGGAAGAGACAGTATGGAAACAAGGATTTCATGATCAACTGTGTTGAAGGCATTTGAGAAATCAACTAGTACCAGTACTGTTACTTTTTTTCTTCCATACCTTGTCTAATATCGTCTGTGACGTTAATTAAAGCAGTACTGGTACTATGACCAGGGCGAAACCCAGACTGATATATACTCAGTAGGTTATGTTTCGAAATAAATGTAGAAATTTGCTTGTAAACACAGGATTCTAACATTTTGGGATGAAAGGGTACAATGAATATAGGGCGAAAATGTTTGGGAAGAATGGGAGAAGGAACTTTTGGAAGGGGCTTTATAAAAACCCTTTTCCAAAGATTAGGGTACTGACCTGAATCAAGGGAAAAAATTATAACATGGGAAATTGCCGGAAGAAGGTGCTCTAGTATAAATATTACCATGTGTCTACTAATCTCATCATAACCCAACGCCTTGGACTGAATTGCTAAAATAGACTTTTTGACATCATCCTGAGAAACAGGAGAGAAATTTATTTAGAATATTAGGAATTTGCACAGAAGGAATGGAAGCCACAGTTTGAGAGCGAATTGTAGGGTCCATTGCTATTACAAAAGCGAAATGTAGGTTGATTTCATCAAGTGATAGAGAAGGACCACAATCCAATGTAGCTGGCCTGCAAAGACCAAAAGATCTAAGAAATTTCCACACTTCGGCGGGAGAAGAATTGTTAATACAATTATGGAAATATCGGCGTTTAGCTGCCCGTACCATTTGATTGCACCTATTCCTGGCTGCTTTAAAAGACAACCAATTTTCTTTATTACGTTCTCTCTTAAAACGAAGAAAAGCTCGATTACGTCTAGACAATGCCAACCTTACGCCCTCTGTCATCCATGGGGCTGGAGGACGCATATATACTATTATATACTATTTTTATTTTGTTTTTTATTCTATACTAGCTGTCCTCTGCGACTTCGCCCGCGTGGTATTTACTACGATTTCATGGATTTTAAGTTTTTTGCGCGAAACTCTCATTCTTTCTCTAAAATAAAAGTATCCTAAGTTACTCCTTATAACATCAGCCATCTGACAGTGAGTCTCGTCAAAGTCGGCCCAGTCGTTACGGAGATTAGCCGAAACAAACAGACAGACTGACAGTCCAAAACTTTGAAAATTGTTTTTTGTTATTAGTACCGTATATACTTCCACACGCATTTAGTAAAAAATGCTGGTATTTTAACATTACAAACAGACACTTCAAATTTATTTATTTGTATAGATTGCTACACGTAAGTCAAATTTTCACTACTCCATATGTACTGGTAGAGAATACCTTAAGGCATTAAGTCCACTCTTTGTATCTTTTTGCATACCTTATGCAATAAAAATAGGTAAATAAATAAATTCTCTATATTTTATAATTAAATTTGTGGCGAAGTCATTAACTTCTATATTCGTATCACATTGATTACCCCTCCTAAATACTCATGTTTATATGTGTAACAGGAACAAGGTGTGGTACGTTTATGGTGAAATATCCGTGTGGAATAAAAGCTTTTTTAAATAAAGAAAGATAAAAGAATCCTCTATATACTATTGGAGTGGTCTGCGGTTAGTAACGGACTAATTATGACTGTTGAGAGATGCTCCACATATTTTCAGGGTTACGTACCTTTGAGATGTGATGGTGAGTGCGTGTGACGAGATAACACGGCGGCCGAGCTAACAGGCGGCAGGGGGGGCGGGCCCGACGTGGGGACGGGAGCGGGCAAGTGGCCGGACACGGAAGCTGGGATGTGAGTCGGAGCGGACACGGGGATGTGAGCAGGAGCGGGAGCGGGAATATGGCTTGGAGCGGAGACTGGGGCGGGTTCAGTATTGGGACACACAGGACAGTAGTCGGGGGCTCCACATTCACACATTGTACCCGCGTTGCCACCGTTGCGCGTATACCTGCAAATTACAAATATCTCCCTTTGTAGAAAAGAAAAAACTACGGTTGGCAAACCGCCTGCCAAGCGTGGCAACTATGATAAATATATAGTCTGTTCACTTAAATACGGTCGCCTTTGTGTCGCGTCGCCATGACACGTGCCGCATCTTGTCAAAGGCGCCGCCGTGACATCAAAGGTCACCGCGTGCGGCGTACACCGGCAGGAGAATTTGACATTTTAAAACGAAGCGCCGTAGCGAAAGGTTCTTTGCTAACTAACTTGTGTTTATTATTTATATTCGTATTTTATTACAATAACTATAAGAGTAAAATAGCATTCTATTTTATTTTTAGAATAGAATAACATTTATTCAACAAACACAATAAAAATTAATAAAATAAAAGCAAATAACAAGTGCGGCTTCGGATATACCGACACTATCTTAGTGAACAGACTACAACTATGAGGCAATCTATGGGGGAGGTCAATGTTCAGCAATGAACTCTTGATAAGTTTTCTTGACCGGGCTGAAGTTAGTCGCGAGTGGCAGCACAGTTATAGTTTTTGACAAAAGGAAGGTGGGCAGTAACTAAAACTAAAAATGGGAATACGCATATTGCGCGGCTACAATTACATAAATAATCGATTATTTTCGTTATTATGGATTATGATTCTATTTTATTTTATATTTTTTTTAATGATTCATTGGTGTATAAATGCAACATGGCGTTTTAAATACCTACAGTGATTATAATGACGTGCATTAAAGAGTTTATTAATAAAAATTAAATTATATTATTTTGCGGTTACTGAAAGAATCTGTTGTGATATTAGCGGGGCTAGTATCGTGTATTTACTACGAGTATATATTCAAACTGTTTATCGTAATTCTTTATTAGATACTAATGTTTTAATGAAATACACAAAGATATTTTCAATATAATAATAATTTTCAATTTATTATTTAATCGGTATAGATAAAACAAAATGTTTCCCTAAGCAAGCTTAGGAATATGAAGTGGCACATCTCTATCGATTAGCGTCTGTACATGCGCGAATGTCTCGAAAAACCAACTTCAAAAAAGGTTCAAATCTAAATATCTTTTTTTGACGCCTTCTCAGGACAAAATTCTTTGACAGAGTTATTAAGGAAGTGACGCTTAACATTTTAAGATATTTTTGGTATATAGACGCTACCGTTCCTTCTCAACTAATTTTATGTATGAAAGTCTGCCATTGTTCTTTGGTTTTTGGAATATTTTGTATTTCTAAAGCGACTGATACTTTTCAGCACGAACCGCTGTAAACAAACGACCACTCACGACGGCGGCTGAGCCCGGAGTGAGGCAAAGTGTATTTAGTAAAATAAATGAATACAAGGCTGCGCTCAAAACACCGAAACCTACGCTATTTATCAGCCAAAAAGAAATAATTATAACTAAACAAAACAAAATCAAACTGCCATTTACATTCCATAGCATCCCACATAGTAGATGAAGTTTAAAAAAATAGATTGAGTTGAACAATTGTTGATATTTCGAATCACAGTCTATAAATCCATACAGTCGTCCGACGAAGACGTCTAGACAGAGCAATCGTGCGGGGTGTGAGGGGTGAGACGCGGGAAGGACGAGCCCGAGCTTCTTATGCGAATCGTATTAGTAGCTCGGGACACGACTTCCAGCGTTACCGCGCGTTTGCTTTTATAATTTTTAAATTTAGTGTTGATACTTATAATTAAAATGGTTCATACGACGTGTGCTGTGAGAGATTGCAAGTCGTCATCTCGCATAAATAAAAATCTGCGATTTTACCAAATCCCGCACACGGAAGAAACGTAAATGAATATTGTTATTATTTTTACATTATGTATATTTTGTCATGTCATGCCAAATTGCCAACGTAAAAAATGGGGGACGTAAAAAATAGGTACTAGTCGCTGGGCATTACTGTTTCGAAGTTTAATTTTTTTTTCTTCATCTAAATCGTGTGGTTGGACAGGCTAAGGTTTTAGACCATACTATAGTGCCTCGTCTTCGGTTTTTCGAGTTTTTTTTTATAAAATATTAAGATTTAGGGGTCAATTTTTAGGTTTGTCGGGGTGCTAATTTCGAAAATAGCATTTATTTTTAAATCCAAGATGGCGGTCATTTTTTAATATATGTATGATATGGATGTCAATTTTAAGGTTTATTGGAGTGATGATTACGAAAACGACATCCATTTTCATATCCAAGATGGCGGACATTTTTTTAATAATATGATATGGGTATCAATTTCGAGGTTTCTTGTGGTGCTGATTACGAAAATGGAATTCATTTTTAAATCTGAGATGGTGGACATAATTTTTTTTAATTTTATGGATGTCAATTTCGAGTTTTCTTAGGGTGCCAATCACGAAAACGGCATCAATTTTAATACCCAAGATGGTGGATTTTTTTAATAATACAATATGGATGTCAATTTTAAGGTTTCTGGGGGTGATAATTATGAAAATTTATTAATAAGTATTGTATTTAAAAATTTCAGATGCAAATTATGGATGGAAGTTATTGGATTTAGTTGGAAGAACTTTCGAAAGCCTAAAGAATTAATTATAAAATAAACTAATAATTCAATGTCTGTAGTCATTATAACGTTAATAATAATATGGATTTGATGTTTAGCTTGATGTTTGGCCACATATCGAGAGTAGAGCACTCCCTCACGTTGTGAGGCGTGCAATTAACGTTTTAAGTACTTTCAGGAAAAATCTAAGAACAAATTTTTACTTATTTTTATATTAGTAATCATACTGTTGATGCCGATGTAGATCTAAAATAAATAATTAAATTAGTAAAAGTTGTAACTTGTGACAACCCTAACGTCCATACGCTGTCTAGACGTTGTCGGCATTTACCACGAGATCAAAGGCCTACTGTATGTTTATTATACTGTGTTTCGAATATTTCGAAAAAGTTACCGTGTTTACGCCTCCATGCGGTCTTGATAAATCTACCTACAACATATGTCACTAAAACCGCTTTTTTTATGTAAAAATAGCAATTGATCGATTTAAAAATAAAATAACAATAATTTATCTTTCTGACAATGTGCTTTTTATATCATTTATATGTTCAATATGATTGTTAGATATGATTTCCTGCGACAAAACGTTGCAATTTTGATTTTTAGGCGCTAGTAGAACATACTTACGCGCTTTGCGCTTAAGGCATGCAATATAGCCTCACCCCTGACATTGTTCTTTACTAATGGTTCGGTCATTCAAATATCGGCCTGGGCTGACAGACAGACAAAAATTTAAAAAAATGGTTTCTCAAGCCTTAACGATGTGCAAATAACCTTCTGATATAGATGAAAATGTAGCAAAAAAATTTTAAATTAATTACCAATTTCTGACGTGCTCCTGATGTACATGTCCGTTTTCCACGATCAGATGAGGCAGAATGGTAGGCTCGTACTGCTCACCATCCTCCACTGCTACATGGATTCCTTCCATCAGATCCTCAGGCTCACTGAACTCTCCCATGTCTTCCAGCTAAAAATGTATGTATATATATATATATATACATATATTATATATATATATATATATATATATATATATATATATATATATATATATATATATATATAAGGTTGTATATAACACATGGTCCTTGACTGCTCACTGTATGAGGAAAGTCAAAGTCGCTCGGAGAGCTATGCTTGGGTGATCATCTGCATTAAAGTCTTAGAAATGAATTTATACGTGGTGGAGCCACGCTGTAGCTATATTATGGTTAGAGCAGGAATGGGTCAGTTCGACCGGGGAAGGACCACGCTCTCACAGAATACCAGCGTAAAATAGCAGCTTAATGCTGTGTTTTGTATGGTGAGTAGAGTACCGGAGGCCTTTTTTACTAGAAATGTGGCATTCCATCTTAATCCAACATAGGGTGACAATGCATCTGAAATTTGATTCTTTATCGAGGATAGATGTCATCCATTTACCATCAGGTGAACTGACCGCACCGACCTAAGTACCATGGGGTTTTAGTCGGTGCGAGTCCGACATAACCCATCCTTACCCCCGCGATGCGGGTATGCGTAGACATTTCCCCATGTAAATAAAAAATAAAAGAAGCCCATAGACATCTACATTTATCCTCGAATAATAATCAAAATATATAATAATGCGTTATCACCTCTGAGGATTAAGAAGAAATGCCTCTGTACCAATAATAATTATAATTTAAAATGGCTACCTAGAAATGTGGTCCTGAGCTATATTTAAAGTTTCAACTATCTAACTTCAATTCCTAATGAGGAAGTTAGATTAAAAGCGATTGCTAAATTTGTACTGAACAGACAAGCAAACAAGCAGACAGACAAGAAAATGAGCATATATTGCACTGTCATCCAGCTATGAGCTATATTTAAATTTTAAAGTCTCTAGTTTACCGGGAGGTTTAGTTTAAAATCAATTGAAAAATTTGAACTGAAAAGACAAGAAAGCGAGTTACTAAAAATCTGGTAAAATGTGTCTCCGGTTCTCTTCACTCACCATACGAAAACAGCAATATTAATTTGCTATTTTGCATTGGTATTCTGTGTGAGTATGGTCCTTCCCTTCTATTCTCTTTCTTCCTACGTTTTTTTGATTATAGAATAAGTGTTACAAACAATTACACAGTCCACCTGATGCTAAGTGAATTTTCTATGGCCTATAGAATTCTACATCTTTACTCAATTAAGAATCAAAATGCAGATGCGTCGTCACCCGTGAGGACTAAGATGGAATGCCTCTTTTCCAGTAAAATGGGTCTTCTGTTCTCTACACTCACCATACGAAACACAGCAGCATTAGGCTGCTATTTCACGCTGGTATTGTGTGAGAGCGTGGTCCTTCCCCGGTCGAGCCGACCCATTCGTGCTACAACTATAAAATAGCTGCAGCCTGTCTCCACAGCGTATTATGAATTAAAAAAAATCAAGTGAAAAAAATTACCTTAGCATTCGAATGTTCTTCCTTTATATGCGCCTCGCACTGCTTCTGTTTCCTGAACGTTTTGTCGCACCTCGTGCAGCTGTACAGTTCCAACTTGGCCAGGGTCTCGTATAGATCGGCCTTCACATTATCCTGCGGTAGCTCCTTCTCACTTGCCATCGTATATTGCACCTTATTGCTGGGGCACGTGAGCGTTTTATCGCTTGACGTGTATAAAATGTGTTTATCCATCGGCTGGTACATAGACTTTGGCACTGTATTCTCTAAGGATAACTCAACTAAGGAGTCTGGTAGAGTTGGCACGTTATCCACAATGCATGTGTTTGTCATCTGCAAGATGAATTTAAATTACTTTTAAGATATATATGTATTTACTATTATTCACTGTACTTTCTGATTTTATCATACAAGTACACAAACACATACACTTGGGTACTATAATCCTGTACTGCACAGATGGCTAGTCTCCGTTGATTATTTTATATAGTGTCACTACCATTATAATATACCTTGTCAATCCCCAAATCAGGCACAGTGTTCTCTATGATGATGGTCCCGTGGGGCTCGTAGTGTTGTTTGAGATGCTGGTAAAACTTCCCGTGGGGCTCGTAGTGTTGTTTGAGATGCTGGTAAAACTTCAATTGCTCCTCCCCGTAGAACTCTCCGCACAATTGGCAAATAAATATCGGCCGCATCTAACACAGGAATAAAATAAAAACACAAAATTATTATTTTTTTAAACGTGTGCAGATCACACGCGGTAGACGCGAAACCAGAAAACTAAACTTCAAGAGAATGAGACGAATGATGTATCAGGAGTAGAATAATTGTAGTGTATAGAATACACTGTATCTTCTTCTTCTTCTTCTTCTTCTACCTAGCGTTATCCCGGTTGCTCATCCCGCCCAGCGCGGGAGAACCCAGGGTCCGCTTTCCGACACTTCCTTCTCCACTTTGCCCGGTCTTCAGCGTCCCTCACAACTAGCCCATTGGCGCGCATGTCATCCTGCACGACATCAAGCCAGCGTTTCTTGGGCCGTCCTCTACTCCTGGCACCAGGTAAGGTCATGTCCAGGCATTTGTTTCCCACGTAGCTTGCTGGTCGTCGTAAGACGTGGCCGTACCAGCGGAGGCGACTTTCCTGCAGCTTGTCAGCAATGTCACGGACATGGAGGCTGCCGCGGATGTATGTATTCCGTACACGGTCTTTCCGTGTGACGCCACACATCCACCGCAGCATGTTCATCTCCGTGACATGCAACAACCGCCGGTGTCGCTCCAGCACCGGCCACGCCTCACTGCCGTACGTAAGGACAGGCCTTATGATGGTCTTATAGACCTGTCCCTTCAGCTTGACCGGCATTTTGGGGTCACAAATGACACCCGTCACCTCGCGCCATTTCGCCCAAGCCGCTGATATACGGGCCTTGATGTCGCGATCGATGTCACCGGACGTATCAAGCACAGATCCGAGGTACCTGAAGTTGTCCGTGCGCTCGACGGTGTCGTCGCCTATACGGAGAGACGTCAGATCTGTGCTGTTGCAGGCCATATACTCCGTCTTCGCCACGTTTAGCTTCAGCCCGCCGTTCTCAGAAATACACTGTATAATGTACTCTATCTTATTTTCTCGCAAGCTAAATCCTATAGATGTATTTGTATGTCTCTTTTTAGTGTCACTTTTTCGTTACATCGATTTTTAATAACAACAATTCAAAAGAAGTTTTTACTTCAAAAATGTTAAAATTTTTAAGAATTTCACTGACATACAAATAACTTAACCGTGTAGGGAGCCCTGCCTGAAATAAACAGTCGCTTAACCAAGGTTGTAATGAGACTGAACAAGCCGCAGATCAGGATAGTAAGAAGTGCTATCACAGTACACGGTAACTTTAACAAACATTTATTTACCATAGGTGTTACGGACAGTCCCCTGTGCAGACCATGTATGGGGGAGGAAGAAACGGCGGCCCACGTGTTGCTGACATGTCCGTACGTCGCTGTATACGGGGCTAAACATCTCGGCACGCCGGAATCACTCCCCGAAGTTGCGTGCAACATCAAGGACTGTAGAACTTCTTCAGGGAGATTTCATGGCTCGAATAAATACATTACTGCCCACACGCAAAATACGCGCTTAGATGTGGAGTTGCGGAAAACGGCCCGTTTATTCATATTCAATTGAACCGTGTAGGGGCTATTAAAAATATCCACTAACCCATATCGTCCCGTGGATATCGTAAGAGGTGATAGAGGGAACCTGAAATAGGAAATCGGCAGCATCATCATTGTGATAAAAAATTAAAATAATAAAACACTGCGGTTGCCAACTTGCCCGCCAAGTGTGGCAACTATGGCCAAATTCCTCCTATCTATGGAGGAGGCCTATGTTCAGCAGTGCACTTTTATAGGCTGTAATGATAATGGATAGATAATTATGTGAAATTTGTATTTACCTCTTGTGTTATGTGGTGCCCATCACCAGGTATATGTTCTGAGTGGGGCACGCCATTCACGAAGTTATCCGGAAGGATTTCCTCTTGCGGGACCTCGGAGTTGCAGTGAATCACCACTATATCCTTAGAAAATTAAGTCGTATCAACATATATAAAATTTAACAATATGAGTTAATAGCTGTGGATACAGCACTGCGGACCATAGGTTTCATTGTCACACGGATCATTATTATATAGCAAGTAGTTGTGCTTGGTTTGAGTTTGTATTTTTTTGGAACGAAGTTCCTTATCGGACGGTACGGGTTTGGCGGATGGGAGCTAGGCGACAAAAAGTGTAAGATTTGAGGCTAATAATTTATTTATTTACATTTTTTAATCAATAATATAATACGTTTATCAATAATAATATGCTATGTTCCACGACACTCACGCATGTTTTTTTTATTTCAAATGACGCTTCATTTTAATAGACGCTATTAATTCATTTATTTGTATTTGTTAATCAATAGAATAGAATAGAATAGAATAGAATGATTTTTATTCAATATGGATTATTACATAATACTTATTGAAAGTCATTATTTTATTTACCACTGGTTCGGAAAATACCTCTGTCCTGGGAAGAACCAGCAAGAAACCCAGCGGGACTTTTTTTTTTAAACATAATTTCACTTAACAATAATTTTGATTATACAATTTTAAATGAATTTTCATAGAACCAGCATGGTGGCGATCACCTTATTCCCAGGGGTTATTTTCATTCATGTATTCCTTGATATTATAATAACCCTTTTTGTACAGTTTTTCTTTAATAAAACTTTTAAACTTGTTTATTGACAAACTTTGAACATGTTCTGGGATTCTGTTGTAAAAGCGTATACATTGCCCCATAAATGAATTACTAATTCTGTGGAGTCTTGTAAGTGGCATTACAAGCTTATGTTTGTTCCTAGTGTTTAAGGTATGAACATCCTTATTCTTATTAAAGCTATTTATGTTTTTATGTACATACATTACATTTTCATAAATATATTGCGATGCCAAAGTTAATATGTTTATTTCTTTAAATTTTTCTCTAAGGGACTCTTTACAATTTAGATTATAAATCGCCCGTACGGCTCTCTTTTGCAAAACAAATATAGCTTCAATATCAGTAAAAGGCAATAATATAATACCTACGTTTATCAATAATAATAATAATAATATACGCAAGGACCTACGTTCCAACCTAGTATTCCACGACACTCGCGCATTTTTTATCTATACATATAATAAATCTGTTGAAAAGTCGTGTCTATAATTCTAATATATTCTTGAAAAAACAAGTCCAGGGGACTAAATAAAGGGTTCTGAAGCCAAATTAGTGGTTTTTAGAATTTTTGTCTGTCTGTCTGTCTGTGTATTCCGGATTCACGCAAAAACTACTGAACCAATTTACATGAATTTTTTTATGTAGGTAGTCAGTAACCCGGGGCAACTTATAGGCTACTTTTTATCCGATTACGGAACTTCAAAAAAGGAAGGTTAAGTATATTAATTTCCTTTAGATGTTAATTTTCTGTTGTATCTTAGTTATAGGCGGAATGACGGATGTTTTTCAAATAAATAACATATTACCATATTTGTAAATAAAGTTTAAAATATAGTTATAATCTTGGTAAAATAATTTGAAACTACACCGATTTCGTATTCAAAACAGCGCCATCTATCATCAAATGTAAAAGTTGTATATTTTGCCTTCAGTTACTAATAAATCAAATAATATAAATAACTTACATTTATATGATTAAATTATTAGATTTTTAAAATTATTAAAAAATTGTAACATTCAGTTTTTTAGTATTTTTGTTATTTTATTTTAAAAGTATAATAATTACAATACATAATAGTGACGTCTACCAAAAATATGAAAATTGATAAGGTATTTATTTCAATTACTAATATATATGTAAAGTGATAAAAATTGGTCTGTCTGCAATTGTTGCAAAATTTTCATTATCATCATATACATAAACATACATACATAAACACTCACGCCTGTCACCCAGAGGGGTAGGCAGAGACTACGGACTTCCATTTGGCGCGATCCTGACACACCTCTCTCGCCTCTTTTACATCCATATATTTACGCATACACGCTCGTCGGTTAAGGGTACTCCTAATCTGGCCCATTTTCAATGTATCGCCGATTTGGTCGATAAACCTTCGTCTAGGGCGTCCCTTCCCGACCCTGCCGTTCACTTCCGCAACATAAATTTGCTTTGTCACTCTTTCCTCGTTCATTCTTTCTACATGACCAAACCACCGAAGCATTCCTTTCTTAATCCTTGTCACAACGTCATCTTGCAAACCACACTTTTCTCTTATCACACTATTTCTCACCCTGTCATTCAGATTCAGCCCTAGCATACTCCTTAAGGAACGCATTATCATCATAGTTTTATTAAAGAGATTTTTATGTATGTCGTGGCCAGATCGTAGAATTGATCATATATCATAAAGTAGTCTATCATTTCGTGAAAACACTGAAAAAATGGCTGAAATGAATGTGTATTTAACACTATTTGATGACCGTGTCATGATATAGCTTGACCAAATCAATGAATAGAAATCTTTTGAAGTTATTAGTAAATAAACACAACATTGCTATTTCATAATATGGTCATATGACGATATCATTATCGTTTTTCACCGCTAGCGGCGCTGATAGCTTATTTTTAACAGAAACAGAACTTTTAAGAGAATTGATATCACTTTATCCCTTATTGTATCAGCTTGCTTAGCATTGTGGGTAAACTGTATGCTAAGGTGTTAATTGAAAGAGTTATGGAAGAAACTGATGGAAAAATTTGGGATGTGCAAGCTGGATTTAGAAAGGGGATGGGGTGTACGGATCAAGTCTTTTCCATGCGCATGATAGCGGAGAAGTTTTTGGCTAAAAACCAGAAAGTTTTTTGTGCGTTCATGGACTTGGAAAAGGCTTATGACAGAGTGGACAGGAATGTGTTATGGCAAACACTGAACACATTTGGGTTGAGCGCTGGCTTGATACAGGCATTAAGATCTCTTTATAGGGACTCTAGTGCTTGTGTCAGGATCAACGGGGTCTACTCTGACTGGTTTGGCATTCATAAAGGTGTCAGACAGGGCTGTGTGGCTTCCCCGTGGCTGTTTAACTTATTTATGGACAGTTGTTTGCAAACTTTGAAAGTTGAAGAATGTGGGTTGAGAATGGGTGAGTCAACCGTCAAATGCCTTTTGTACGCCGATGATCAAGTCATATTTGCATCGTCGGCGGCCGAATTGCAAATGATGGTTACTTTAATGAATTGGTCATTGAAAGAAAGGGGTATGAAAGTGAACGCAAGTAAGACGAAAGTGATGGTTTTTGAAAGAGAAGAAAGTAAAACTTTATGTGAAATAAGAATAGAAGGGGAGTTGATTGAGCAAGTGGATGAGTTTGTATATTTGGGATGTTTATTTAGCAGGGATGGTAGATATGATAAGGATATAGAACGACGAGTGAACGCAGGAAATAGAGTGAATGGGGCTCTACACGCTATTATGAGGAGTCAGAATGTGTCAACTAAGGCACGTATGGCAATTCATAATGCTGTGTTAGTCCCTACTTTAATGTATGGTAGTGAAAGTTGGGTCTGGCAGAAGAAGCATGAGAGTAGAATAAATGCTGTAGAAATGCGTTCCTTAAGTAGTATGCTAGGGCTGAATCTGAATGACAGGGTGAGAAATAGTGTGATAAGAGAAAAGTGTGGTTTGCAAGATGACGTTGTGACAAGGATTAAAAAGGGAATGCTTCGGTGGTTTGGTCATGTAGAAAGAATGAACGAGGAAAGAGTGACAAAGCAAATTTATGTTGCGGAAGTGAACGGCAGGGTCGGGAAGGGACGCCCTAGACGAAGGTTCATCGACCAAATCGGCGATACATTAAAAATGGGCCAGATTAGGAGTACCCTTAACCGACGAGCGTGTATGCGTAGATATATGGATGTAAAAGAGGCGAGAGAGGTGTGTCAGGATCGCGCCAAATGGAAGTCCGTAGTCTCTGCCTACCCCTCTGGGTGACAGGCGTGAGTGTTTATGTTTATGTTAAAAAAACATATATGTATATGTTTTTTTATCCCTTATTGATATAATAAATAAATGTTCGTTTCTATTGCTGATATTACTAGATGTTATAGTTTTGGTTTTCATTATTTCATGTAATATTAGCGCCACCTACTTACTTCTAAATAAATTAAAATGGCAAGACATTGATAAAATGAAATAATACAATGCTACTGAATATACGATGTAAATAATTAAATCATTTACATTACGTTCATCCCGCGTTGGAATCAGTGCAGCGAACTCTTTTTTGGCCAAAAACTCTACAGCCTGTGCCCAGTAGTAGCATGTATGTAAGCTGCTTTTTTACTTTTCATGGTGCAATATATGCAGTTTTTATTTCATTCGTGTTTTCGGGTATGATAATTTATGTTTTCACTCTACCATAAATATTAAGGCTTGCAAAGATGAGTAGAACTCATTATCGTCAGCCTATCAAAAGTCCACTGAAATGAACATAGGCCTGCGCCATAAATTGTCAAGTAGCTGGATATTTGCTATAGTGGCGGGTTGGCAACCGCAGCTATTATTATTTTGATCTGTTGTCAGGAAGATGATGCAGATCATCCCATCTACAATTTTTTTCCTATGTCGCCTCTTACGACGGGACGATATGATGTGTTGGATTTTCTTTCACCGCCACAACAGTGCGAACATTTTTCTATTCCCGTTCATGAGTGTAGTGTTCCTCACGTTCACTGTGTATAAAATTAATAAGGAATAAAAGTAATTTTAAGGATTTTATCGCGTTTAATTTTAACTTTTTAAATTCCCGATGGTTTGGGCAATTTACAGCACCCATGGTCACGGGAGGGGTGGGAGAACTGAGGTGTTTGACGACCTGATGTCATAGTTAAAATAGAATAGTTAAAATGCAGTAGTAGTTTGAATTTAATTTTATTAATCATGGAGTCCTTAGCAGATAGTAGCACTCAGCCATCTTCCCTATTAAAATTAGGATATTTTTAATTTCAATAGCCTCGCGAATCATCATTGGTAGGATTCGGTGTACTATTGCAAGGATTTGTTGTATATAATGGATGGGGCGATACTAAACATGTTTACATACTTTAGACTTCCCGGAGCTTCGGTGCTTTCATTCGGTGAGGAGTCAAGATGCGTAAAAAAACCCGTAACATTAGTTTTAATCCATGTGTGGTATTCATTATTATAGAACTGTATTTATGAAATTTTCAAGTCTACTCGAAGTAAATAAAAATATCTATATCTTTTTATGGTGCCAATCAATATTAAATAGGACCAATGATATGAATAAAATGTCTCAAATAAACATTATATTACTTTGTTAAAACTAAATTTACTTTAACTATGAATATATATATATATATATATATATATATATATATATATATGTTTTTTTATAGGTATAAAATATAAGTATGAAAATTTCAAATCTTAAGTTCGTTTTTGTTATACATTTATCTAGGCCAATATAGTTTTTTAACTTTATACAATAGGATATACATTTATAAACTCACTTGTTGAGGCGTACTGTTTCCAGCATTCCTCTTCAGTTTCCTCGAAATTCTCTTCTTATGCGGCAGACTCTTCTTGCTCTGTTTGTTCTGAACAGGAGAGGCACTTGCACCAATATCCAGCACTGGGCCGTCAGCCTCTGCTAGCATTGGATTATTATCCTGGAATAATGCATTATTTATGGATGCTACCTTACTTCTAGATATACAAAAATATTAAAGATGTTAAAATTTAATGAAGATCCACGAAATTAAAATAATAATAAAATAAAAAATCAAATCTACAAAACTTCACAACTTATATTCGCTATATATACAGGGTTATTTTTGAAAGAGTAGCCAAATTTTCAACGAAGTTCAAATATATATTAATGATATACAGTTTATGCAGTTTTTGAAAATATGAGTAAAAATAGCTTCTACATTTATTTGAAACTGTCCCAAATTGAATGTGATTTATGGGCAACAACGTTTTCGACCCTTACGAGTGTGTGCGTGCGCAGTAAAATCAGTTAAAATAATGCATTACCACGCATTTTGAATTTAAAAAATAAAAAGGACAGAATGTTCGAGATCTTTTTTATTAATTTTTCTTCACCATTTGCCTATATTACTTATTCCGAACCTTCTCTGCAAATTTGGCTGATTATTGCAAAATAACCCTGTACTTATATATTCGCTAATAAAAGTACCAAAGCAACTGACCTTTAATGTTGGTTTCGTTTTATTATTGAACCAGTCTGTCTCTTGACACCTCTTCATATCTTGCAACGGTGGCAGTGGTGCAAAGTGTGATGGCAATTGTACCACAATTGGTTCTGATTGGTGGTCCTAATTAATGGTAAGATGTTTATTTTAAATTAATTATTAATTATTACGGATTAACCAATCATAATTATTACAGCCATTCAAAAGCCACTGCTGAGCATAGGCCGACCTCAAGGAATGCCACAAAAAACGGTCCTGAGCCACCTGCATGTCTTACCAGGTCGTCACTCCAACTAGTGGAGGGCCACCCTACTCTTTGCTTACCGGTACGAGGCTGCCACTCAAAAACCTTTAATTCCTATCGGTTGTTGGTCCTTCGAGCGACGTGAACGGCCTGTGGCGGCGCTGTGGTCGCGTCACAAGCGAAACACATCGAAGCCTAAATCGCACTATCAAAGCTCCGAAGTAAAGCAGTATATATAGAATAGCTCCGAACTATCACTCAGAGCGTTGGACGCCCCCCGGGCAGAACACCTTGCCCGGCAAGAGATCTCTTCTCCCTTTTCCTTTCACGGCCATAGGCCCATTACTACTTCAGTACACTGATCCGTTAGGCTATGTTGCTACTCTGGTTCTACTATGGACATCCTCATTTCTAAATCTATCACGCAGAGAAACTTCGAGCGTAGCCCTCTCCATAGATCGCGCTGAGCGACCTTGAAATGAAATGACCTTGAAAAAATGTTTATTCATGTCTTATTAATAGCATTCAAGTACCCCCCGAGCTTAATAAGAGGTAGGTATTTCGATCTTACAGACAGACACTTCAAATTTATTTATATGACAGACAGACAGACATTTTAAATTTATTTATGTTTTAGATGGGTATGACAAAAAACACTCACCAGATGTTGCCCATTGTAAAGCTTCATTGGTGTGTCTAATATGACTGACGCATCTACCTCATTCCTGACTGCAGGTACCTGAAAGTTCGATTAACGTAAGGCACAAAAATTTAAGCTTTGGTTTAAGTTATGCCTTTTTATTGAATAAGGGTGACAAACGAGCTATTCCACTGCACTGAGTACATTGTAGATGGTAAGTCAATGCTATGACCCATAGACGTCTTTCATCGATTAAAAATCAAATTTTATCACCCTTGAGGACTACGATATCTTAAGTGGTAGAGCCATGCTGCAGCTATATTATGGTTGCAGCACGAATGGGTCGGTTCGACCGAGGTAGGACCACGCTCTCACAGAATACCAACGTAAAATAGCAGCTTAATGCAGCTGTGTTTCGTATGGTGGGTGTAGAGAACCGAAGACCCTTTTTTATTGGCATCAAGGCATTTCATCATAGTCCTCAAGGGTGAAAACGCATCTGTATTTTGATTCTTAATTGAGGATAACACATATGAGAATCTATTATTAACCTATTTTGTACCGTTCAGTCATACTAGTGAAAACGCCAAACCTCAAAGGTGTAAGACATCTGGTACTAGAATGGCCAATGCACCTGTCAAGTCCATTATGACAAATAATTCCTATGTAACAGCCTAATTAAGAAATAAGATGTAAGTATTTTAAAACTAATAGTAATATTTCCTATTAACGTTTCGTAGGTGCTGTAAAAGGCGACAGAGAGAAACAAACCAGAAGATGGGATGAAAAATTGAAATTGCCAATTGCCCGCTTGCCAAGTGTAACAGCTGTGGCAAATATCCCCCTTATGCAGCTATTTATAGAGACCTATATTCAGTAATTAACTTTGACAGGCTATAAGGAGTGAATGTTTTTTTTTTTTATAAAACTGATGTGACAAACAAACAGTCTACCTGATGGTGGCGACGTCAGTTCATGGGTACCTGCGGCCAAATTCCATTGATACGCCGAAAAGTAAGAATTTTTTTCGATATCTCGCTTAGTTTCCGAGATATCGATACTCAAATATTGAATACTAAAACCAAATCAGCACACCCCCAATCCACGTAGTCTTGTCTGCCCTACCCCTAGTGTTTTTGTAAAGTCGTAGGCGCGGATGGAGAGCAGCCCCAGTCCGTCGTAGCACTGGTATTTGCAGGCACCTGTGCGAGCCGTAGCCAAAGCTGCGGAGGTGAGCATGGGTACCTACGATTTGCTACGCAAGGGCGATGGGGCTGAGCTTTGTTCGATATTCTTTTGTAAAAAAGTCATTTTTGAGTATCGATATCTCGGAAACTAAGCGAGATATCGAAAAAATTTTAACTGTCAGTTTATAGCGCCAATAGGCGCTTGACAGCTCCATGACGCAATGGCTTAGCAATGAGACGCGGCGCTGAGGGATGCAGGTTTGAATCCCGCACGGAACAATTATTAGTACGGCCTACAAATAATTATTTTGGTTCAGTTTGTTTGTCCTTGTGTATTCTATGTATGTAAACTTATGGAGGCAGATACAGGAGAAAATGCTAGCAACTAAAAATAGGCAGAACAGGAGGGCAAAGGATTCAGAGATGCACCATTTAATCTATAGTCTTCACAAATGAACCTCACCTTGTGGTGAGTAGGTAGATGATGAGAAGGTCGAGAATGCTGAGCCAAATGCGCTACCAATGCTGCCAACCTCCCCTCAGGATCCAGCAGTTCTTCATTCCACTGCCCTTCCCCAACTTGTTCATTCACTGACACCTGCCTGAATATTTTATAAGAAAGGTAAAGTGATTGTGTAGGTTAACTAATATAAGGAAAAGTTTTATGTTTTGATAGTATAATTAGTCCATTCTGAAGGCAGCCTTGATTAAGTGTTACAGGTACAATGTTCTAACCCCTGTACTGTGACCATGGGTGGTGAATTGCTTGAAATTACAGGAAATGGCATGGCTTGAAATTACAGGAAAGGAAAAGTTCAAATCAAGCACAATACAATTAGTTTATTAAATAATCTACTGTAGCCTATTTCCAGATTTAATATGGGAGAGACTGAATGGGATGGAGAGGTGGGGCTGGAAAATTTACACTTACTCTTTTCAGGTATGATCATGAGGTTAAGAAGTCAATTTCTCATTATCATTACAGCCCCAGAAAGTCCATTGCTGAACATAGGCGTCCATAAGTAATGCTACATAGCACAATCCTGAGCCACCTGTATCCATCAACTTTCTGCATGTCCTGCCATGCAATCACTCCATCTAGTAAAGGGCTGCCCTACACTTCACTTGCCAGTATGGCTGAGATCTATAGACAACTTTCGAGCTAAGACAATGTCGGTATTTATAGAGCTAACTTTGAAGTTGTGCTGAGTGCACGCTTACTAAAGCCTAAGTCAACAAAATCGACCACTTACGTAAAACTCAGGATATTATCCAAGACCACTGTATTACATTTTAAATTGTTGTTTTATGTTATTTTAATTTACAATTACTAAACAGTCCTATTTACATAGCATGCATTTATCCATGATTACTAGTGATTCAGGGAAACATTTTTTAATTGAAATACAATGTCTTCTGAATAAAACACTCTTAGTTAATAACAAAAGTGCTAAAGAGAACAAGAAATTTAACCAAAGACAATATCAGTACTGATGTACTGATATGGTGTGTGGCCACCACTACCAATTTACGTGGTAGAGCCATGCTGCAGCTATATTATGGTTGTAGCACGACTGGGTCGGCTCGACCGGGGAAGGACCACGCTCTCACAGAAAACCAGCGTAAAATAGCAGCTTAACGCTGCTGTGTTTCGTATGGTGAGTGTAGAGAACCGGAGACCCTTTTTACTGGCAAAGAGGCATTCCATCTTAGTCCTCATGGGTGGCAACGCATCTGCATCTTGAGTCTTTATTGAGGATAGATGTAGATGTCTATGGGTCACAGTAACCACTTACCATCAGGTGGACTGTGTGCTCGTTTGTCACCCGATCCTATAAAAAAAAAAAAAATCTTAGCTTACCTGCACATTTGTGTTGCTGAAAAGCTAAGTGGATGCATCACTGTAACCACTCTCCCACCGTTGTCGTCTTGTACGTTGAGTGATAAAGAATTCGCATCCACATGCACAGGCTACCAAAGAAATTTTTTATTTGATGAGTAATTTTATTATGTGTAGGTATGATAATTCGAAATATTATTTGACAACGGGAATCGTATTTTTTAAATTTTCAAATAAAATCGCAGGAACCATAAACTTTTTGTTACGTTGACGGTAACAAATAAAATAATATATAAAATGGTACATAATCTGAAATTTTTTTATACCTCTGTAGAGTGATGGGAATTTATGTAATGCGTGACTGCCTCATCCATTTTATCTTCCAGAAGATGAGAATCTACGTTCCTCATGATGAAAATAGGAGAGAAAATGTTTGTTTATTTCATTCTTGTCTTGGATAATGCTTGACAGCTGTTAAAGTACCAAGGTCGGTGTCAATTGATATAAACAACTATTTAGGACTGTTGAGCCTTTCAAAACAACATTTTGAATTATAAATATTAAATAATCGATAGATGTTTTCAAAGTTAAATAGTACATTTATATTAGAAAATATCTAGTCAATTAAAAATTGTCAATTTGACATTATATAGTACCCATCTTCACATTGTTGCATTCAACATATTTATTTATCTATGGTTGCAGTGTTACTAGTGATGGATCAACTCGACTTACTAACTCGAGTTGCGCTTAACTCGAGTTGTATGTCCCTAACTCGAGTTGTATTTCCTTAACTCGAGTTTGGGCTGCTGTACGTGAAGGAATCAAGTGAGTCACATAAGAGTAAGAGCGAGATTCGATCGCTGTGCGCGCGCTTTGTGTCTCAAATAGTATTTAGCTACAGCAAAAACAATTTGTTATTTAGAGATTTATAATAGCTAAGTTATGTAATTTAATTTAATTTATAATTTTGATGTATTATAATCATTATAGTTACGTAAGTCACAGATCAATTATTGTAATACCCGAAAAAGGTGGTTAAGTTGTAAGATACATCATATTTTAAATTAACGCAACTTGTTACACTTAACTTGAAATAAATATTTTGAATTTGAAATAGTTTGAATTTATTTTTAACTGTGATAATTAAACTATTAATAGCTTATGTATCTACATCTTAAAGCTAGACTAATATCATTTCGTGAAAACTGCTATGTAGCTAGTTTTGTTGCTAAATATAGGTACTTACTTTAACTAATATCAAAACCAAAAATACATAAGTATGTGATACATACTAAATATACCTTTTTATTTCCATCCTACATAATAAGTTTGGTAATTATAGTTATCCCAACATACCAAAGATCTATATAGAAAAACAAATTTATAAAAAAGTAATTTGTAACAAATCCTTTACTCTGTTTCATACCTCTAACTCGAGTTGTGTAAATTTCAACACGAGTTAACTCAGAGAATAATATGATACATAAAGTTAACTCGAGTTGTAATTTTTCCAAGTTGGCACATCTATAAGTGTTACCAGATGAAAATTGCAAACTACCTACCTTATCAACAGACTAAAATTACCATGTTTAAGGTATAATCACCTTAGATTTATATTTAAATTACAGCGTATATTACCGTGAATGTAAAACATACGTTTTTTGATATTTTTTAAATTATAAATAAGTTGTCCTTCCAAAAGATCCACTTCTTGGTCAAGAATTGACGAAGTAATAAGAAATAATATTTTTTGACAATTACCATTTCGGTGAATCGATTGCTTAGCCAGAGTGTTTCTCTCTATAGTTTTTTTTTATGGGATCGGGTGACAAACGAGCACACAGTCCACCTGATGGTAAGTGGTTACTGTGACCCATAGACATCTACATCTATCCAAAATAGTCTTCATAATCATTCTTTTTTTCTATATAGTCTTCGTAATCAATCTTTTTTTCTTCGTTTTAATGTCATTTACTTTACTAAACAGTCTCTCATATGCAGCATTAGACTGGGGCAGTGACAGAATGTTTACTATAAACGTGGGCAGAGATTCAAATATACTTTTTTTGGTCCTTCAGCCGAGCTATCTGTGAACAATGACAATTACTTAACTGTGTGTGCAAAGAAAGAGGCAATTAAAATAATTTAAAATTAATAAATTAGTATAATTACTCATCTTTGAACTTATGTTTGTAATGCTTACGTTTTTACCCAGCTCTTGTCATTTAGAAGGATGTCGGTCCAGTTACAGTATCAGTCTCTTAGCAATCACTATTAATTTCATCGCTGCCCATTATGATCTCGAATTTTACGATTTCATAAAGAAAAATAATATTTTATCCATACCAGTAAACAGCAAAAACTTTTTTAAGAAAAGTAATGACATTCCATTCATTAATCTGACAAGCAATTGAATATTTGGGATTTCCCAAAAAGTGGAGGCCGGTATGGCTAATTAAGTTTACCTAATTAGAATATGCGTTTCGTTAAACGCATTTTTATAATTTTGGATTTACATTCAACTTTTATTTCCGTCCCTCCCCCTCCAACCTCTCGTGCTCTAGTACAAAGTCCCGAAACCTTTCAGCTCGAGTTACAAAACCGTTTTCGGTGCCTAGAAGACTGCAATGAAGTGGACGATGTGAATGATAAGCTCGTGGAAACTGTCCATCCGGTCGGAGCTTAGTTCTGCAAGACCCGCCGCAGAAGAACACAAAAACTCTCCGATCACACTCGTAATCTCATGGCTGTTAGTCGGGAAATGAAGCTGCAGTCTTCAACAGATTTGACAGCATCAGGCAACTGGACAGACAGATCTCCAAATGCATGCGGTGGGACTTACGCAACTTCGATATAGCTTGTATTAAAGAAGCGATCGAGCGGAACCAAGACTCCAAAGGCTTTGCCAGAGATCTGTCTGTCAGAAAGAGCCAACTATCAAAGCTGAAGACCGAGTGTGGCAGCATCGTTTCCGGGACACCTCAGATTTTGAGTGAGATTGAGAGGTTCTATGGGCAGCTGTGCACGTCATCGTTGGAGCCACACGCAAGTGTGAGTAACGATCCAAGAGCGAGTCTTATCTATAGTTATAGCCTAAATAAGTCCCACTGCTGGGCACAGGCCCCCCTCATTTCTAAAAGGGTTTTAAGGCAAGGAAGCGTCCGCCGCGCTGCTCCAATGCGTGTTGGTGAACTACACATGTCGTCGAAATATTTTTTTCTTATTCCTCAGACATGCAGGTTTCCTCACGATGTTTTCCTTTACCGCCAAGCACGTGGTAAATCAGCACTTAAAATTGCAATTAACAATTTCAATGGTGCTGGCGGGGATCGAACCCGGTTTGCTCGCGTATTGTGAAATTTACAGCGAGCGATAACTATCTGAGCTACCACGGCTCTTATCTACGGCTCTCATACACGAGTCTTATCTACTACGACACTATTCCGAAGATATTGCGGACGTCAGTCTGAGCGAGATAAGAATGGTTCTACAGCACCTTAAAATGTCAAGGCCCCAGATGAGGATGGAATTACAGCGGAACTCGGTTGGGCAGCCTTCGAGAAATTACGGCACATCTTCTATCATCATCTTGAAAACCAGACTGTACAACTAATGCGTTTTGCCAGTGATGACCTATGGAACTGAGACGTGGTCCTTCACTGCTAGCCGCATGAGAAACATGACAGCAGGACGTCAAACACCTCAGTCCCCCGTGACCACGGTTGCTGGAAAGCACCCGAACCGTCGGGAATATAAAAAATAAGTTAATATACGCGATAAAATCCGTAAAATTAGTTTTATTTAAACGCATGAGGAAGCTCAAGGTCGCCCAGCGAGCTATGGACAGAGCTATGCTCGGAGTTTCTTTGCGTGATTAACTTAGAAATGACAATATCCGCAGTAGAACCAGAGTGACCGACATAGCCCAACGGATTAGTAAGCTGAAGTGGCAATAGGCCGGCCATATAGCTCGAAGAACCGACAACCGATGGGGAAATAAGGTTCTTGACTGGTTGGTTAAAAATGCCGTGCATTTACGGTAATTACCGTGTATCTGGTAAAGGTGACTACTCACTTGCCTGTCGCAGGGACAAGCTAGGGTGTAAGAGTGGGCATGACCTTTAATTGCCTCCTTAATTGTGATGTGTGTATGCAAGCAGGGGCAATTTTCTAAGTCGGCCTGCAGCAGGGCAACAGGGGCGCAAGACCTTCCTTGCTCACTAGATCGTAGCTGCCACTGCCACGTGTGTATTGCAATTCAATCAGTTCGTTTGCGACTTTCGCACGAAGTACAGGTGTGAGTACAAGTCACAATGTATACCAATAAAGAATGTGAAATTTGGACACTGGTGATAGAAGTGTACAAAGAGCGGCTTCTTCACCTAGTATCTCCTTTTGTCTTATTTTGCAATAGCATCACAGAAAAAAGGTTGTTTGAACGTTGTAACGTTTTTAACTGACTTCAAAAAGGAGGAGGTATAAAAAAAAAAAAAATTCGTCGGAATCTTTTTTTTTATTTACGTTCACCGATTACTCGAAATGCCTGAACCGATTTGAAAATTCTTTTTTGTTTCAAATACTTCCCAGGTGGTTTAATTTATCAACATACATCAACAATAAATTATATTGAAATCGGTTGTACAAAAATTCAATTTTACCATTTGTTAAACGTCGTAGAGTCATGCTGTAGCTTTTAAGGACTATATTATGGTTGTAATTATTTATTAATTAGTTGTTTTATCGATAAATATGGGTAACTATGAGCCTCAGTATCCGCTTACCATCAGGTGGACTGTGCTCATTTGTCACCCTTATCTAATGTATAAAAATAAATTTTTGTTTGTTCGTATTTTGTTCTACGCCATAGTGTTAATGAGATTGCGGTAAAATTTTTCCAATTTGTTGCTTGCATTTACGCGAAGTTTATAGGCATAGTACAATTAACTTACGGTAGGTGGCGCGCGTGTCGTTCGAACATATTTATTTGAAAGTAATTTATCATTAAACTTCAATTAATGTATTATCATCATTTTTAACTAAACAAAATAATTGATCCAAATTTAAAGCGAGATTTCCACAATTATTGATTCTGTGGCAGCAAAGCTTTGGGTAACAGTTAGTTCTATATAAAAAAAGAGCCAAGGCTATATATAACGATTCATTGATATTTCGATAAAACTGGCGCCATTCTTAACGCGTGTATCCAAAGAGACGTACACACTTATACGCTCGCTGTTCACCCTAGATTGCCCCTGCGGCAGGCAAGTGAGTAGCCGCGTTTACTAGACATGACGTCTTTAATCAATAGTGATTTAGTTCACAATGTTACCAACAATCGACGTCGATATACTCGATTTTCTTTAGTTATTTATTTTTATTATTTTATTAAATGTCTAAAATTAGTATTCCAACGATCAAGTAAATTGTTTTCTAAATTAAGTGATGATTTTTATACTACATTGTAAATATTCGTTTCGCAAACTTTGAAAACGAATAGTTAAGGAGGTATGAATACTAAGTCTTGACAGACGCACCGTACGTAAGCGTCATGACTCCCATTTGTAATCCCAATTTTATATACTTACTAACGTTCCGCCCCGGCTTCGAACGACTGTTTTCTGGATCTCGACAAAAGCGCTACTTACCGGGTCCAATTGTGAGTGTTCATCAAAATAGATCCAGCCGTTCTCAAGTGATGATCTTTCATACAGACGCCAATTAATTTTAATTAATATAGATTTACTACTTGCTTAGCGGAAAACCATAGATCATATTCAACAAAGCTTTTTATGCTTGGATGAAAATATTTACAAATCATGAAGTTAAGGCAGGATCTTCTTAATTCCGTGTAGTGGCAGCGTAAAAGAAGCTCTAAGACCCAGTACCATCCCGTGGGTATCGTAAAAGACGACTGAGAAAAATAAAACAGGAGACAGGTAACAGTATCTTCCTGATAACAACCCAAAATAACAGAAAATTACGGTTGCTAACCCATTTGCTAAAAGAGATAACTATCGCAAATATTCCCTCTACGTTCAGCAGTGGACTTTTGATAGATTGTGATTAATGAATATATGATGGATAATATATTGAGGGAGCAGAAAGGAATGCGGGTAATACGATTTATGGGTAGTTATGATCTAGCAGGAAAACATATCGCAGATCGCGGTCGTGTCGCTGCCCTCTGTGTACGTTCCATGAAGCAAACCCAGTGTCGATTAAACACAGTTGTTATTCCCTGTGAGACCCATAATAAGTCTAAAGATAATTGGCGGAAATATACCAGCTGAATTTAAGTAGATTTGTACGTGGTAGAGCCATGCTGCAGCTATGTTAGTAGTATAGTTGTAGCACAAATGGGTCGGCTCGACCGGAGAAGGACCACGCTCTCTCAGAATACCAGCGAAAATAACAGCTTAACGCTACTGTGTTTCGTATGATGAGTGTAGAGAACCGAAGACCTCTTTAACTGGAAATGAGGCGTTCCATCTTAGTCCTCACGGGTGACAACGCATCTGTGTTTTCATTTGTAGTTGAGGATAATTGTTTATCTCTATGGGCCACAGCAACTACTTAACATCAGGTGGACTGTGTGCCCATTTGTCGCCCTTATTCTATATAAAAAAAATCATAGCGGCCTTTTAACGATATATTTTTAATTATACTACGATATTACGAAGTTCCGTATTATTTGACTACGTTTTTGTTGTAATATGTCATCGGCAACAACCTTGTATAAGAAACAAAGTGAGAATAATATAGGTAGTATTGTACCATGTTAAACGTCATATGTATAAAGAGTTAAGCTATACGACTTTTGTTCTTATTTTGGGACTCTCTCTATGCTAGTAATTATTCTGAGACTTTGATATAACGTAATCATAGACTATCTGCTGGGTTCAACTGTTGTCAAAATTCAACAACTTCACAGTGTGATGCATTAAAATAAAATTGTGAAAGGAGACTGTCGTTTTTGGGCCCACTAGAAATTTTATCATCAACTTAATGGTTTAACATATAAAAAAGATACCACCACCCAATTTTGTTAAAGGTATCAAAAATTGTATAAAAAAATTATGAATTCAACGGTATTCTTATTTATTTTCTACCTTTAAAATGACTGAAATATTGATGAGTAAAGTAGTGTTCTACGGTAAGTGCGACTGCTTTGCTTTGCATCGCGATGTGACGTCAAAAATCGACACGTCGAAGCCACCAGTAGTCTTTATTGTTATATTTTTCTTATTCTCTCCATATTTATTACGCCATTTTTTTTCTTGTATTTATTCAGTAACCTTTATTTTCTGTTTTTTTTTTAATTTATGTTATATCACGCTCTGTGGGAATAAAATTCCGATATGAGAAGATACAATTCTGTAGATCAAGTTAGACCTTAATGCAAAATTTCATCAAAATCAGTTTATATTACACTCGTGTCCGCCCGCTGACTTTGTAAAGGTCACCGTTACCCCACTCCCATATGCGTCGCCAGGCAGAGGTCGCGGGCGCAGAACGCGAGTGCGAAAACAGTAGCTTGTATGCAGCGGTGCCGTCGCAACGTAACGTATTTGTGGTGACCGTGGCAGCAATTTCGTGCGACCAGTTTCAGTTATGGTCTAGATTTTCAGTATTTGTGCGCGTTACTTCGCTACTTAAATTGTGTTTCGTGAAGACCGCCTCGGATTAGGTTGTCTAAGTATTGCAGTGAGTCTACTCGGGCCGCGTGATTACTGCCTTAGAAGGTCGCATTCGATTCTCGAAATAATTTTTTGCTGAGTGAACGGAAGTGAACTTTGACCCACCGCTCATCAGTCGTGCCGCGTGTTACGTTTTTGATTATAATTAACGGGATTTAGTTGAGTTTGAACGTCAAGTGGTATAGTGGTTGCATGCATAAGCGCATTCTGACAATATTAATTCGCGTTAACGAGTTGCCTTGTGCCATTGGATTTAACTCGGAGATATTTTCCCGTGTCGGTTAAAACAGCTAACATTGTGACCCGCGAGAACCAGCGTTCGTATTAGATTATAGATTTGTGCTAATGGACGCTAGACTTTGAGTGAAACCGAGTGACGTCGCTGGAGTGATACCTCATAGGGTGGCGGTGCTGGAGTCACGGTTGCTGCTGATCAAAAGGGGCTAATTCAGGTTACACATATATATACACTTCTCACACACTACTTACATTCACGACAATTAACGCCTGAACGAGCCTTGTGATCCTTCTTCGCCTCTAAACAGGTACGTACTATTTATTTACCTAGCTTTATCACTGTCGTGTAGGTCAACTCTCCATAAGGCTATTTGGGCCCCGTCCTTAGTTATCCGTCGAGTCTACAGCTGTATGGGCCCCTGTATAGTCGACCTTTGTCAGGACAGCTTAGGGCGTGTACAGGGGTTCTTTTTAGTGGTAAACGCGCAAAATTCTGGGCATTGAACTTAATTAGATTTAGTCGCCCCAATCCAAGACCTTATCCGGCAAAGACTCGACTTCAGACACAAGTTTGTTCCGGTACTCGACGTTTTCCCGTGAAATATAGGCACAGCCGGTGTATAAAGAGTCACCAGTGCACATTACTGGCTCGCAACATATTATTTATAAGCAGAAGAAACAGCGTAGGTACGGTCCACGTAGCCTTGTGGAACACCCGCATAAATAGGCTAGTAAATGGAGAGAGAAGGATACACCTTCTATTACAACTGCCCACCGATAAAACTGCCGATCCAGTTGCACAAATTCTCGGGAAGCCCATAGGAAGGGAGCTTCGAAAGAAGTGCTTTGAGTCAAACCCGATCGAAGGGCTTCGCTATGTTCAAACTAACGGCCAGGGTCTCCCTGTCTACCTCCGCCGATTTATGGGTCAGGTAATCCAGAGAAGATCACGATCATCGACGGAAATCGTACTGGTGGTCACTTTTCAGTTGGTGATCCTCAACCTCATGAGCTGGCAGGTCACAATGGTTTTCATTATGTTGGAGGACAAGTTGGAAAGGTCTGAGCGGTCGATTTTTCGGTTATTTTAGGGATCTGGTGCACTAACACTAAGTTTGTCTTCTTTGAGTTTGCGAGAGAGAAAGAGTTTTAGCAAAGACACATTACGACCGGTGCCAACTAGGTAGCACACGTCTTCAGCACAACAGTAGGAACTCCATCAGGCCCAATCAACTTGACGTCTAGGGAGAGTAGTGCTATGCGCACCAAGCGCGGTGTAAACCGTATCGTACTGACCTGAAGGCGAAATTATACTTCTTTTTAACAGCGCTGGTGAAGCACTCCTATTATAGCGCGATGCAATTTTACAGAAGTAACCAAACCAGGCACCATAGATGATAGAAGGAAGAGTTCCAATCTCTGAAGTACCACATCAGCGACAGAATCACATGGGATTATCCGACGAGAAGCATACTCGCCCCTGTCCTCAAGGGAAGGAAGCAAAAAAGACCGCATCCTTTCCCAATCGGCAAACTTATAGTGCCAAACAAGGCGGCGATCTGTAGAACGCAATCGCGATCGGAGTGTGAGTGGCATCATAGACCGGATCAGACAATGGTCCAATGAGCCAAAAGGGGCATTGACGGAGACTATAGTATTTAGTTTAGTTTAAATAGGGCCCCAATTTCAATTTTGCTCCAGGGTCCTTGGTTACATAGCTACGCCACTGTTTCAGAGTAGAATAATTCGATTTGCGTTTTAGGACAGACCCTACCCTTGAATTTGACCATCGATTCGCCCACGCCCACGTTGATATACTCAATAAAAAAAATTTATTGAGTGTATCAGCAACAGGTCTGATTTTATATAGCTTATCTTCGCTAAAAGACGCAGTTTCATAGTAAATATATAGGAGGCGAATTTCTGCGATTCGATTCGACTCGGCTCGGCGAGCCTAGTGGACGCTGAGCCTAAAAGATAGTGGCGCCCTCCTTTTTTCCATGAGTTTCTTGATAGACTGTAAGTAAAGCCACAATTTGTGGTGAGCCTATTCTCATACAAAAAGAAATTGTCTACTTTTTAAGAAAAGCAAGAAAAGGTTGCATCGAACCATTCCTTTATCTTTAAACAGTTAAAAATTGTCAACGATCAATGTCATAAATAACAGTGACACTGACATCAGATGACATCAATCACGATCAATCATCGACAAAGGATTGACAACTTTAATCAAAATAAAATCTTTTTCATTGCACATATGTACTAAATTACATTCATATATGTAATTTGTTTACAAAATTTCTTATTTATAATGTTTCGAAATACATATAAATTTAACACAGTGTTTCGAAATCATGAGGTAATTTATTTTAATTAATCACTATTATTAATCGCATTTCTATTTTACTTAAATTTTTTGGATTTTTTTTATAAAAATTTTGAATGACAGAAAAATTCTAAAGACCAATTTTATAAAGTTGTACTTAAATGAGACCTTGGCTTACCTTGATATTCAAGAATGAGAACACCTTGATTAAATATGTTTAATTTTATATTGAGCTAGAGCCTCTGGGTTGCTTGAGTTTGAGAAAATCAATTTAAAAAAATTGGTAGAAAATTAGAAACCATTACCTTAGTCCGATTATATAAGCTTAAAATATATTTTATTTAACAGGTACAAAGACGTAAACACACCAGTAAGTTGGATATAATTAGAGAAAAACTAAGAGAAGGTCCCGGTTTGGCTGATTTCATCTCAGAAGATAGACCTGCGACCTGGGATGATTATGAAGGGAAGTTAAAACGAGAAAAGGGGGAGGTAGATCGACTCAGACTGCCACCCTGGTTAAAAACATCAATTCCTACAGGTTTGTACATTCACATGTTCAATATACCATAAATTAGATTTACCACAATGACAATGATTTTACGATACATATTTACCCAAACGCTTAGGTGCGTTGGGTTATACCGGATGGACTTTTGACTAGTTGAAATAGTCTGGCAAAAACTTTATTTTCTCGACATCCGTATAAGTCAGATTTCTGGAACATGGTGCAAATTGTTAATAGTTAAACGTAGTTTAGCTATGAGAAACTTTTGCTTTTGTAAACTCAATGGTGTCTGCTTTAAACATGTGCGAAGACAAGACATACTTTTTTATATGCATGATGAAGAAATGGTCATCAAGAGGTAAGATTGGACTAAAATTTAAAGCCACTTCTGCTGCTTAGAGAACAAAGTTAATAAAAGGAATTTGTCCTATCTTTAATGCTCAAAAACATATTTCAATATCATTTATAAATTACTAGAAATATAAATGTTCCAAACAATTTTATTTTTGTTTGTTTCGTGGCATTTGATCTTATCCCTGATATAAAAAATTCTAATTTTGTGGTTCTCAAACTTGGTTATGACATAAGATGGAATTACTCAATATAAGGGAAATATGCAAATGCATCCACATTTGGTTTTTCTTAATGGGTAAGAAAATTTTATCTAGATTTTTTAAATAATCCTGGGTCAATACAGCAGTAGAAGAAGATTTTTGATTGATTGATAGATTATTTAATGTGCAGATTTGTGTGTGTGTGAGTGTTAGTGAGCATTGAGCAGGCGTGAGCCTATTTTTAGACTTAGTTAAAATCAGAATATGGGCATGAAGTCGGAAAAAGTAAAGCAAAGTGGAGTAGACCAGGAAAAGGAATATGGGGTAAAAGTTTCCCGTGAAACGGAATTAGTTCTAAACTTTATCTAATGAGATGAGATATACGTTATTTAATAAGTTTTTTATTCTTTGAATAGTGATTACTAGGGCTTCTTGTTTGTACGCAGTTGCCCGGATAAACTGAGACCATCATAGCATAAACCAGTGCAAATATATCAGCATCTCACAAAATATATAGGTACATATATCTAATAACTGAGTTCCGTAGATTAGTTCTATAAGATTTGTTATTATCAGTTGTAAACCATTGAGTTAATGCATAGCAATGCTGGTAACACTTAATAAAGCAGAATATTTCAGTAAAATGTAAGTTAGCAGCATATTAACAGTTTCGAAAAGTCTAATTATAGAGTCATTCATCACCATATTGCTTCGAAATGTGAAGAATTATAAATGGTTTAATGTGTATTTAAAAGTAATAAAACCATCCTAAAAATTAAGCTCAATTAGGTACATTAAGGCATAATAGATTTGATAGCGGTACTGAGTCCCATAGCCCCTTGAGCAATCTTCAAAATAATGTACACAACAGATGAAAGCTTAACAATCATTGCCATATTTGTAACAGGTAGAGATACGATAAAATTCATCTGATCTTCAAAAGCGCGGGGAAATGTCGTATCTCGGCCTACAGCAATCTTAGCCCTGTTTGAATCAGTTTTATCTGGCTATAACTTCATAAAACTTAATAATCAGAGAAAATAATAACATAAAGAGCTATATTCTCGCTAAAAATCATAAATAAAAGTTATAGGCAAAGACCGAATGGACAAAAGAATACAAAAATACCTTGTTTTATAAAATACCGCGATAGCACACGTCCTACTTCCCGGAGCGAATGGCGGGAACTTGGGGTCGGGATAGAATGCAATGGCGTTGTGTACCATATTGCTAGCATTTAAAACTATAGCATAATTCGCCGGAAATTTGAATATTACGGTCTTGCCCCATCACCGATCTTACCCCAACACACCTTACACATTAAACTAAACTGATTTTTATCACATTTTAATTTGAACCTTTTTAATTTCTGACATTTTGAGTGCTTTGCAGCCCAAAAAGCAGATGCATAATAATAAGCAGAATGAGATAAATATTTAAGTCTTTCAGTGGTTTGTTTGGGTTTGGTTCTAGTTTTATTGGTTACAGAATCCGAAGCAGGTGGTAGTACCCAACTGGTGTACCTATGCTTGTTCACTTTCTACCTTGTTATATCACCATGCATATTTGTTAGCCTCTTTTAGTTTTACTAGCTTTTAATTTGGTTGATCTCAGCAGTTGTCTTTAAAATACGGATAACGTACAAAGACATTTCAAATTCATAAATTACAGAAGAACAAACATCCAGATCACATAAAGCTATTTGCAGGCCATACAGATACTTGTTAGTGTAGCGACCAACCATTATGTTCAAAAGTGGACTTTTGAAGGGCAGACAGTGATGATAATGGTGATATAAACCTTGTTTTGTGCGGAATTCGAGAAATTTAACATATCACACTTAATTGTTACATTTCTAGGGTCAAAATTTAGTGCTTTGAAAGAACAACTCCGTGGCTTAAAACTCAGCACAGTGTGTGAAGAGGCTCGATGTCCTAATATTGGTGAATGTTGGAGCGGCGGGAAGAATGGAACCTCCACAGCTACAATCATGGTAAGTTCCTTATTTTTAACCTACCTTAAAAAAGGGAGGTGGAACTTAATTCGAGTGTATGTTCTTTTTTATATATATTTTTTAATATTTATTTTCAAAAAAGAGGTTATGTCACATCACTATGTCACGCCCATTATATACCATCGAAAGTAATAGATCTACATACAATAACGTAACTTTAACAACAAAAATAGATATGTTGCTAAATACCCCAATGATAAATAATATGATAACCCCAAGCAGGAAAAGATTACATCTCTTAAAGTCACACTACACGTAAATAAAGTTTGACCTCATTTTGGCCTCTTGGCAAAGCAAAGAGGATTCTATCCTAGCATTGCAAATGTCTACATTGTGATTTTGTAAAAATATCATATCTTGCCTTTGTACCTTGTTATGAACACACTCCGTAAAAACATGGTGCATTTGTTCGCCTAAGAATTATTATATTGATCGTTCTGAATAACTCGTACCTCCAATTCATATATTCAGGCCACTGTTTTCAATATTTGTGTTCGCCTTCAGTCTTTCCCCCATTTAGTATTTTAGTGCACCATAATCAGTATTTTTGACACCCTTAATTTGAATTTATATTTGGTCATTTTTTTAAACGCCCATTGAGATTTAATGTAAAACGCCGAAAAATAGGGTTAGGTTTAGATCTTGCTGTATCCTTCTTTGATTGAGTTCTTAGGCTATACTTTGTGTTTAATTCAAAGAAGTCACTTCATTACAACTTGGTACAAAATTTATTATTTAAATAAAGCTTACTGTCTTAAGTCTACTGCTGAACATAGGCCATTCCTCCAAGGAATGCCACAAAGCATGGTCTTGAGTCTGGCACTCGAGAACCTTTTTTCCCCCATCGGTTGTCGGTTCTTCAAGCTATACGGCCCGCCCATTGCCATTTCAGCTTACTAATCCGTTGGGATATGTCGGTCACCCCGGTTCTATTGCAGATATCCTCATTTTTGAGTTTTTCACTGATGATCTCAATTATTAATTAAGTAATTAACTTATTATAAGTACTTGCCGGAAAACGTGCTCGAAAATGTCGGACAGGACTATTTTTGCGAATAAGTATGATATTGACTTGATGAACCAGGCATAACCAATGATATTTTTGGTCGACATTATCATTCCGTATGATGAGAACTTCGTGAAAGCCATTAGGCGTGAAAGCAGATAGGAAAACAAAATATCCGGACCTGGGTCACGAGGTGACCGACGTGGGGTGGTCTGCCAACCGAAATTATTCCTGTAGTCGTCTCTTCGAATGGGCTAATCCCGGATCATTTGTGGCGACTTGGAATCCGTGAAAAAGCCTCTTCGATACCATCGGATTCGTCCGCCGGTTTCTTTCCCGTCTTCCAGCCGTTTGGTCACCCTTGGTTAGGCTTTTATTTAATTATGTATGTATTCTTTAGTTATTTATTTTACTATGTTTAAGGTATATTTATCATTTTCTTCCATATATTTATTCATTCCAACCGGATGAGAATGCTGTATTGATGTCCCATAAACATAAATAATTTAGCCTGAAATGACGTGATTTAATACTGTGGGGTATACAACCTCGCGAATCTCCATGTGTTACAGCTAGCATACGCTCTGTGCATACAGCTATTATTACCACCACCGTCAATAGGTGACGTTTGCTGAATCTTGTGAAAAATGAATAGAATGAATCTTGTGATTAAATTCTAATATGGAATTGAGCAAACATTAAAAAAAACTTAATTTAAAAAAAAATCTGATTTTCCCATAATTGTAATATTAATAAGTTCACAGTCCTGGAGTCTCCAGCTCTCTGTAACATTTTATCTTTGTATTCTGCAGCTGATGGGAGACACGTGTACTCGGGGCTGTATGTTCTGCTCGGTGAAAACATCTCGTGCGCCACCCCCGTTGGATGTGGAGGAACCGCGCAACACAGCGCTAGCCGTCAGCCAGTGGGGATTGGGCTATATTGTGCTCACTTCTGTTGATAGAGACGGTGAGGGATTGCTTTATGTAAACGTTAAACCTGTCAGACCTGGCAATTGCAGTGCTTATATAGAAGATGACTGACTATATGGTTAGTGAAAGCAATAATTTTTGTACGTGGTTGAGCCACACTGCAGCTATATTATGGTTGTAGCACGAAGGGGTTGGGTAGACCGGGGTATGACCACGTTTTCACAGAATCATCATCATCATCATTATCATTACAGCCTTTCACAAGTCCACTGCTGAACATAGGCCTCCCCCAAGGAATGCCACATAGCACGGTCATGAGCCACCTACATCCATCGACTTCCTGCATGTCTTACCATGTCGTTACTCCATCTAGTGGGGGGACGCCCTACACTTCGCCTGTACGAGGCTGCCCCTCGAGATACTTTTTTCCCTATCGGTTGTCGGTTCTTCGAGCTATATGTCTAATTAATCCTTTGGGCTATGTCGGTAACTCTGGTTCTACTGTGGATATCCTCATTTCTAAGTTTATCACGCAGAGAAACCTTGAGCATAGAGCTCGGGGTTTCTCTGTGTGTCAAGGGAACTAAAAAGCGTTGACTTCATCAGACCTCTCCAACTTAACGTTTAGGTTCAGTGTGCCTCTGACCATTCGGTGATCGCTACTAGTTTTCACAGGTCGTCATAATGAAGCCAATCTCATTTTTTGTCGAACCGTCGGGGCTTGACCAGGTCCACTTTCTGTGGGGCCACTTCTGGAAGAAAGAGTTCATCATAAAGAGTCCCTCTTTCACCATGAAGTCGGCCAGCTGCTGGGCCCTTGAGTTCCGTTGCCCTATTCCAAATTGCCCTATCTTCAGCTCATCGTTCTCTCTTGTGCCAAATTTTGCGTTGAAGTCTCCTATTAACACCATATAGTGGGTTTTGGAGGAATGCATAGCTCTAGATATATCCTCATACATTTCTTTCACCTCCCCATCGGGATGTGCCGAGGTTAGTGCGTAAACCTGTATGACCTTCAGCGAATACCGTTTAGTGATTCTGAGTATAAGGTACGCAACCCTCGTCGACACACTTAATCTTCAGAACGTTGTTAACGAGAGACTTGTGGACGATAAATCTGACACCTCCTTGGGACAGATGGTCGCCCTCCCGGTGATAGAACAAGTTGCCGGATTCGAGGATTACCGTGTCCTCCCCCTCTCTTCGGACCTCAGATAATCCTATAATATTCCATCGCAACTTGTCTATCTCTTCTTCCAGCTCCAGGATCTTCTCGTCAGTCCTCAGGGAGTGTGCGTTATATGTTGCCAGGTCGAGTCGTCTTAGGTGGCAACCGAACCTCCACCGGAGATTCTTAGCACCTCTGCCCCGCCGTTACCATGGTCGTCACCGTAGCCAGGAATAGCGGGGGCGCCGGGTACTGGGGGCCGTCTTTTCGTAACTTTCATCATAGGGGTATATTGCCGTAGTTGCCATGCTTGGCGAGCGGGTTGGCAACCGCAGTTTTTTTATTGTTGTTTTGCTGTTATCAGAAAGATGCTGCTGCTCATCTTCTGCCTGTCTCCCTCAGTTTCCCTCTGTCGTCTCTTACGACACCCACGGGAAGATATGAGGTAGTGGATATTCTTATCCGCCACTATACGGTGAACCACAGAATACCAGCGTAAAATAGCACCGCTTAATGCTGCTGTATTTCGTATGATAAGTGACGACCCTTTTTACTGGAAACGAGGCATTTCATCTCCGTCAGGGCCACAGCATCCACGTACCATTAGGTGTGCTGTATGCTCGCTGTCGTTTCCAGTAAAGATTGTTCTCCGGTTCTCTACACTCACCATACGAAATACAGCAGCATTAAGCTGCTATTTTACGCTGGTATTCTGTGAGAGCGTGGTCATTAACCAGTCATGCCGTCAAATTTGTCCAATATAGCTGCAGTATTGCTCTATCACGTAAAATATGCAACGTTTCTCTAAAAAGTACTTTCAAACCTAGTTTCTCACTTTGATGTTATAATTCTTGTTTTGAACAGATTTACCTGATGGAGGCTCTTCACATTTTGCTGAAACGGTCCGAGAAATAAAAAGACAGTGAGTGTCCTCTAAATAAATATTATAATATTATGTACGAGGTGAGTAAATATGCAAATTAGGATGTATTTTTCCCACGGAGCAAATACAATGAGGAAGTGTTGCAATTGGATTTCACTATGTAACAACGCGTGACAATTTGCGGGGTGAGGGGATGTTAAGCCCCGCCCACTTTACTATTTTCCATCTACCGATAAAATAGAAAAACTACTCGCATCGTTCCATATCGATGTTGCAATATAGTTCAGCTACCTTGACGATGGATGGCGGCCTGTTCACAAAATGATTATAAAATATATAAAAATAATATTTTGGCGATTAAATATTCTTTAGGACTGAATGAAAAACAAATTTCAACACCTTCGTATGATTATTTTACTGAGCTCTACGTAACTTTATATTTTTAGTTCCCTTGACACAAAGGGTTGCCATCTATTGTCGAATATATTTAATAACATTTGAAAGCCGAAGCAGATATTTTTCTAGAACTTTTTTAATAAATTGGGTATAAAATTACTTACAAATGAAATATGATGCTATCCATAGCATCAGAGTCTATCTGAGTAGTTTTTACACGATAAAACACAACTTTTCATCCTTTTCTTCTTAATACTACGAAAATACACCGAATTACCATTTTCGACACATAAGCGCATAGGACGAACGCTGACAGTGTACTATGTAAAGCCACGCCCACTGTGATGACGTCAGGACCTAGTTAGAATCACATTGCACAGTTGCTTATGCCATCTCCTCTTTTATTTGCTTTGTGATTTTTCCACACACACAGCAAGTATACAATTTCGTCGTACAAAATCGCTAAGCTTCCTTGGTAAGGTCTCGAACTGCTTCCCGAAGCAGAGTTCTCTTTTGCGTAACGCGTTTCAATAAGAGACATATAGAACACTCTAGGTCAATCCATATCGTTCCACTCTTGCAGAAGCAGAGGTCATCATCATCACGCCGTGTCATCATCATTGAAAAGTTGCTACTAAGTTGCAATACGTTTTTAGGTTTCTAGTGTATGTACTCGAAACAATGCCTCAGTGCTATTGTATTCTATGTATTGTATTTTTTTACACAATATTATAGTTTTTTTACTCTTCTACTTTTAGTAATATGTATAGTTTGGTTGACCCATTTCTAATCTAATTAATTTAACATATCTATACAAATAAATAAACTTGAAGAGTCTGTTTGTAATGTCAAAATAACAGCATTTTACTAAATGCATATGAAAGTATGTACGGTTCTCATAACAAAAAAAAAAATCAATATTAAAATGTTGTCTGTCTGTCTGTTTGTTCCGGATATTCTCCGAAACTGCTAGACAGATTTTTTACGGAACTTTCACTGGTAGATAGCTGATGTTATAAGGACAAGTAACTTAGACTACTTTTATTTTAGAAAAATTGTGAAAGAAATCCGATTCAAATAGGGAAGTATACTAATATTTTTTTCTTTAATATAATTGATTTCTGCAAAGAAACGCCTGATTCTATTAATTAGTGCTAAAAATTAAGTGCAAAAATCGTTTAATATTCCAGGAACAAAGAGATCCTGGTGGAATGTCTGGTTCCCGACTTCCGAGGAAACCGCGATTGTATCGAAACGATTGCGAACTGCGGCCTGGACGTGTTTGCGCACAACATAGAGACGGTCGAACGACTCACTCCCTTCGTGAGGGACCGGAGGGCTGGGTAAGGCTAGGGTATTTTATGGAATTCTGGTCTAAGAGAAGCTTTCAGCCAAATTACTGACCCTTTTTACTGGATACGAGGAGTTCCATCTTAATCCTCAGATGTGACAACGCATTCTCCATTTTGATTCTTAATCGAGGATAAATGTTTATGTCTATGGGCCACAGCATCCACTTAACAACAAGTTGGACAGTGTGCTCGTTTGTCACCCTAATTCTATAAAAAATTCCTGCAGTTGTCTTAGGTGGCGGAAGTTTGCCCTATCCCTTTAGGTAACAGGCGTGCGAGTTGTAGTAATTATTTTGTGGGAGTCCACTGCTGGACGTGGCTGTGCCTAATCGGCGATAGATGTAGATGTCTGTGGGCCACAACGGTGGTAGAGCCACGCAGCAGTTTTTGCTGTTGCATGTATGGGCCGGCTCGAGCCGGGTTGGTACCACGACCTCACAGAATACCGGCGTGAAGTAGAAGCTTTGCTTCTGCGTTTCGTCTGGTGAGTGCAGGTGGTCGGAGGCCCAATTCCCCCCCCCCGCCCTCCATCAACATGGTAGCGGAATTACACGAAGAACTACCCCAGGAGGGTACCAGCACCCCTGGAGAATCCCTCGCTGAGCATCCACGACCATGTTATTCCGATCCTGAGCGTGGGTGCTCAGGCTGCCCCGCGTATTCTGGGGGAGGCAAAATTCCGCTCAAAAGCATTACTGCTAGGGGCAAACTGAGCAAGAACACCAAGGCGACCCCTGCCACGCTATCCGTGAATTTCTGCAACATCAGGGGACTTCACTCTAACCTAAACGCCGTTCACTACCATCTCGAGACGGCGAAGCCAGCCTTGCTCTTTCTGACCGAGACGCAGGTTTCCTCTCCGGCTGATATTTCGTATCTCTCCTGCCCGGGGTACAAATTGGAGCATTCCTTTGTGCCTCGGGCTGGAGTTTGCGTGTATGTCAGAGAGGACATCTGTTCTCGACGCCTCGGCAGTCTTGAAGGTTCGGACCTGTCCATCCTTTGGCTACGCGTAGACAGCGACGACCATCCGCGCGTCTACGGGTGCCTCTATAGGTCCCATAGCGGTAATGCCGAAACAGACCGACTCATCGACCACGTCCAAATGGCTACAGATTTCTTGCTACAACAGGTCCCATCCGCAGAGATCGTGATCCTTGGCGATTTTAACGCCCACCATGCCGAATGGCTCGGTTCACGTCTAACCGATCATGCGGGGAGATCTGTTTATGACTTTGCCTTGGCATATGGTCTGACACAACTGGTTACTTCGCCTACGCGGATTCCAGATGTGGAGGATCATACACCTTCCCTGTTGGACCTTCTGCTGACCTCTCATCCGGACGGATATCAGGTTTCCGTCGATGCCCCTCTTGGCTCTTCGGACCATTGTCTGATCCGGAGTGTGGTGCCACTCACGCTCCCTTCGCGGTTGCGTTCTGCAGGTTGCCGCCGTGTTTGGCATTACAGGTCGGTGGATTGGGACGGAATGCGGTCCTTCTTTGCATCCTACCCATGGGGGCGGGTTTGCTTCTCGCCGGATGATCCCAGCGCTGTTGCTGACTCTGTCACTGATGTGGTGCTACAGGGAATGGAACTATTTATTCCATCATCTGTGGTACCCATCGGAGGCAGATCTCAGCCTTGATTTGGTCGCTCCTGTAAGACTGCATTACGCAGTAAGCAGGAGTGTTATCAAGCCTGGGCTGCGGCTTCGGCGACTCGGGATGTAAATACCAGCACACTTAAAAAGAAGTATAACTTCGCCTCCAGGTCCTTCAAAAGAGTTATTGCCAAGGCAAAGTCAGATCACATAGGCAGAATTGGCGAGAAACTAGTTCGCCTTCCTTCGGGAACCCGTGCATTCTGGTCTCTCGCCAAGGCTGTCCAAGGGAATTTCTGTAAGCCATCACTACCATCTCTGCACAGGGAGGATGACTCACTGGCCCATGACGCAAAAGACAAAGCCGACCTTTTAGGCTCCCTTTTTGCGTCCAACTCGACTCTTGATCACGGGGGGAAAACACCGCCGACCATCCCGCGGTGTGAGTGCTCCATGCCGGATGTGCTGTTCTCACAGCGCTCGGTTCGCAAAGCACTGCTCTCCCTGGACATCCAGAAGTCGAGTGGGCCTGACGGAATCCCCCCAATTGTGCTGAGGACGTGTGCTCCGGAGTTGGCACCGGTCCTAACGCGTCTTTTCCGGTACTCCTACTCCCAAGGCGTAGTCCCGAATTCATGGAAGACGGCTTTTGTCCACCCGATCCCTAAAAAAGGCGACCGCTCAGACCCATCCAACTATAGGCCTATCGCGATCACCTCCTTGTTCTCCAAAATAATGGAATCCATTATTAACTGCCAGCTCATCCGGTACCTTGAGGATCCGCCAATACGGTTTTCGTCGGGGTCGATCAGCTGGTGATCTTCTGGTCTACCTGACCCATAGATGGGCGGAGGCAGTAGAGTCCAAGGGGGAGGCGTTGGCCGTTAGTCTGGACATTGCGAAGGCCTTCGATCGGGTTTGGCACAAAGCGCTTCTTTCGAAGCTCCCTTCCTATGGGCTTCCCGAGAAATTGTGCAATTGGATCACCAGCTTCCTTGCAGATCGGAGCATCAAGGTCGTTGTAGACGGTGCATGTTCTGACTACAAGCCTATTAACGCTGGTGTTCCACAAGGCTGTGTGCTATCACCAACGCTGTTTCTTCTGCATATCAATGATATGTTGCTAACTGGTAACATTCATTGCTATGCGGATGACAGCACTGGTGATGCTCTATACACCGGCCGTGCCAATATTTCTCGGGAAAACGTCGCTGAGTACCGGAACAAACTTGTGTCTGAAGTCGAGTCTTTGCTGAACAAAGTCTCGGATTGGGGGCGACTAAATCTAGTCCAATTTAATCCTCAGAAGACACAAGTTTGTGCGTTTACCGCTAAAAAGAACCCCTTTGTCGTATCTCCTCAGTTTCAAGGCACTCCCCTTCTTGCCTCAGCCAGTATCGGTATCCTCGGAGTCGACATATCGAGTGACGTGCAGTTTCGTGGTCACTTGGAAGGGAAGGCCAAATTGGCCTCTAAAAAGCTTGGCGTGCTCAGCAGAGCGAAACAGTATTTCATGCCGGCACACCGCCTGCTACTTTACAAGGCGCAAGTTCGGCCTCACACGGAATACTGTTCCCATCTCTGGGCAGGGGCTCCCCAGTGCCAGCTCCTTCCACTTGACCGCATCCAACGCAGAGCGGCTCGAATTGTCGACGACCGAGCCCTTTCCGATCGGCTCGATTCATTGGCACTGCGAAGAGATGTTGCATCCCTTTGCATTTTCTTTCGCATCTACCATGGGGAGTGCTCTGAGGAATTGTTCGGATTAATCCCAGCCGCCAAATTTCACGAACGCACATCGCGGCAGAACTCCCGATACCATCCACACCATCTGGATGATTGGCGGTCCACCACTGTGCGATTTAGAAGATGTTTTCTTCCTCGCACGACCTCCTTGTGGAATAGATTACCATCAGCGATTTTTCCGGACCGATACGACTTAGGGACCTTCAAGAAAAGAGCGTACTCCTTTTTAAAAGGCCGGCAACGATTCCCCTGGTGTTGCAGTTGTTCATGGGCGGCGGTAGTCACTTACCATCAGGTGAGCCGCATGCTCGTTTGCCCCCTCTCCTATAAAAAAAAAAAAAACAGCGTCCACTTACCGTCAGGTGGACTGTGGGCTCGTTTGTCATCCTTATTGTATAAAAAAGTAAATACCTTCCTTTGAAATTTGTGATTTTTAACCAGGTACCGTCAAACTCTGAAAGTACTGGAGACTGCGAAAGAGGTGAACCCGGACTTGGTGACGAAGTCTTCGATCATGCTTGGACTGGGAGAGACCGATCAGCAAGTTGAGCAGACTCTGAAAGGTAAAGTAACAGATGTGTCCAACTGCTGGAAGTGGCGCTATTCCTTCTTTTAGAGGTTTTAGGGCAAGTAAGTCTTAAGCTAATTTTACGGATATTATATATATATTTCACCCGCTCAGGGGTTAAATTTTCCAAAAACCTATTTAAGTGGTCTACGCGGGGAAAAGAGTATATATGCCAAATTTCAAGTCGATCCGGCGTATAGTTTTGAAGATCTCGGGAAGGAGTAAGGTTTATAAATATACTTATGGTACTTATAACAGAAGGATAATTGTCTGTCTGTCTGTCTATTTATTCCGGCTATCACTGGTAGATAGCTGATATTATAAGGAGTAACCTAGGCTACTTTTATTTAAAAAAAATATAGGGTTCCGCGCAAAAAAGAATGAAACCCATGAAGTCCAATCGTAATAAATACCACGCGGATGAAGTCGCGGGGAACAGCTAGTTTGATATAAGCATTGCATATAATTTCATATTCATTCAGTAAAAAGCTGTTATTTGGACATTACAGATTCTTCAATTTCATTTATTTGTATAGATGTACATTATATGTTATTTTACTCTAATAATTGAGTATTATTTAAATCTGGTACAGATCTCCGTTCAGCCGGCGTGGACTGCGTGACTCTCGGACAGTACATGCAGCCGACAAAGCGTCATCTCAAGGTCTTCGAGTATGTGACTCCAGACAGATTCAAGCAATGGGAGAAAAGGGGTTCAGAGCTGGGCTTCCTGTACACAGCTAGTGGCCCACTCGTGCGATCTTCCTACCGAGCTGGGGAGTTCTTCATCGCCAGCCTCCTCAGGGACAGGAGGGCCAGCACCTCGTGAACGGACCTTTGAACGCCAGTTACAATGGAGCGGATAGAAAATTATAAACCTAGCCCGAACCAATCGTGATTCACCACCTTCCTGCATCACATGGTCATGTTTCACCATCGTACACAATTCCATCACCATAAATAGGATATAAAAGATACTGTTCTAGAATCTTTCCAAATTCAAATTCAAATTTTATTTATTTGTAACAGTGAAGACAATAGATCTTATAAACTTAAACAAACAAACAAACATTATATTCTATATATTAGATTACACAATACAAATATGACATAAATAACTAAATATTTTTTCTAACTCAACTGGTCCCTTACTAACCTTGGCTTACTTACTCCGATCTATTTTTATATATAAGTAAAGGTGACAAACGAGCAGACAGACGATTTGATAGTATGGATGAAGTGTTATTCTATCCTTGATTAGGAATCAAAATGCGTCAAAATTTTTTATAAGTGGTAGAGCCATACTGCAGCTATATTATGGTTGTAGCACGAATGGGTCGGCTTGACCGGGGTAGACCACGCTCTCACAGAATACCAGCAAAAAATAGCTGCTTGATGCTGCTGTGTTTCGTATGGTGAGTGTGGGGAGCCGGAGATCCTTTTTACTGGTAACGAGGCATTCCATCTTAGTCCTCATGGGTAACAACGCATCTGCATTTTGATTCATAATCGAGGATAAATGCAGATGTCTATGGGCCACAGCATCCACTTACCACCAGGTGTACTGTGTGCTCGTTTGTCACCCTATTCTATAAAAAAAACCTGAAAACTAAAATGGATTGTCGTTACTAGTAAAAAAAGATCTCCAGTTCTCTACACTCACCATACGAAACCCAGAAGCATTTAGCTACTTTTTCATGCTCGTACTCTGTGAGACCGTGGTCCTTCCGCGGTCGAGCCAATTTATTCGCTATATTTAGTAGAAATGTTACTTAAAAGCTTTTAGAAAAATTTACTTCGCAAATATCCGCGTTATAAAATAAAATGATGTGTCTTACCTAGTATGAAGAGCACCTCCCGCCCTCCCTCAATTGCGTGGACTATCCCCGTCACCACTAATTCCAGCACCGCTACTCCCAACACCACTACACTAGGCAAGACACACCACTGACGATAATACGACACGTGTTTCGCCTCTACACGAGGCACCCTCAGGTGATATAGACTCTACGGTGGATAACCGCTAAGCGGCGTGGATTTCCGCAAAGTAACGCCTGATTCTATTAATTATAGAAATGTTACTTTCGCCGAAACTGAAGTTCCACTTTCAATTTAAATACTATCTGAATTGTGATGTGATAACTATAGGGAATATACAAAGTGTATAGAATATATAGATTATTTTTTTACTTAGTTTATTTAGTGTTTTTTCGGTGTCATATTGTAGCTAATTCTTATTTTAATAAAGATCTTGTTATGAATCATTTAGTTTCATTTTAATCAAAAAAATTTCAGTGATATGAACCAATACATGGAAATAGTTTTGTATTTTATTAACTAATCACATTAAAATCAAATTTGCAGGTCTGTTTGAACGGCTGTAAATAATAATCTGAATTGGTTAAAATCCTTTAATTATAATAAACCCGTAAATAGTCTAAAACTTAATGTAGTAAGTAAAATAAAATAACAATTGAGAAATAATGAATACAACTGATATTTTATACCTAAATTGTTTTTTATCAAGTGTATAATATTACAAGACTAACGTGCATTTGTATGAAATTGTTTTGGTCCTTCGAGACGGACATCACATTTCTTTATGCTTTTAGATCTCAGTCTATGTCAGCCAACTTCAATAAAACATGTATATAAGTCAACGAACTTATGAAGATGATATTCCCCTATCATTAACGGGGCGGGAACCCCGAACACCTAACAATATAACCCTCGAGGGTGGTGACTCGCAAATGGTCTTGAGACACCGTGATCGCACTGCGAGGGTGCTGGGAGCAGAAAGGACTGTCCCCAGAACGTGCTTTCAATAAAGCAAAGAGAGAAGGCCCCAGGTTGCGTTCCGAACGGAGGTTCCGGGATCTCTCGTATGCGCTGATGGTGACCATCGTGGTGTTTTAGCCGTTCAGATTACTTGCCCCCCACAGCCAATGGTATTCATGAGGATTTCCGCACGGAAAAAAAGTTGCTATCGTGGTATATTTGGGGGAATTAACGTAATAAACAAATAGGGGAATAATGAGAAATATGCTAACCAAGTTGGAGCCCAGATGGCTGTAAGAAATTTGAAGAACAGGTTTTTAAAGATCTTTATATGTATATAAAGTCTGTGCCCGAGCGACCGAGCTAAACAAACAAGAGAGCAATTCTTCTGTAAAACTAAACAGATTTATTTTTATAGAAAGGAAGAAAGGATTGTGACAGTCTGTATGTTTTTATTTTTTATTTTTTATGTTTTTTTTTTTCTGGAATAAAAGTGACAAACGAGCAGACAATACACACCTGATGGTAAGTGGATGCTATGGACCATATACATATATGGACCCTTATTCTATATAAGAAAATGCAAATGCGTTGTCTACTGGTTGATAAAACGTTGTTCAATCATAGATCGACAATTAATCGATGTGGTTGTGAGCTCATTATCAGTCTTTCAAAATGCGGTCGGTGGAGCGGGGTGGGTTCTCGAATAATTAAGCAGCTCGATCGACGTCGACCAATTTATTCTACCATCGATCGATCGGTGTGGTAGAAATTATCGTTCGACATCAACTAATCCATTCCACCCTCGATCGATCGATTGGTGTAGTGACACCTTTGCGACATCCACGGAATGATATTTAGGGGGTAATGGATATTCTTACACGTTTACACTGACCTATATATCTGTCGTATTGACATTCGCTTAGTATTAATTAAAATGATTCACCAATATTTCTTTAAAATCTCAAGATACTTAAAATACGGTTGAATTATACATTAGATTTCTATTTAAAATCTACGTAAACGTATAGGTTAATGATTCATTCAGCGTCTTTGAGTGGCGTAATTAATTAATGATTGTTATACATGACAAGGCTACTGCTGGATATAGGCCTCTCCCGTTGTAAAATTTGTGCTTTTCGGTTCGAAGATCGCAGTACCATTGAGACCTCGCTCCCAGTCTCTGGCAGAAATATAAATAGACACATTTTCTATTCAATCTATACAAATAAATAAAATTGAAGTGTCTGTTTGTAGGTAATGTCAAAATAACAGCTTTTTACTATATGCATATGAAAGTATATACGGCATATATAAGAAAAACACAATTTTTAAAATTTTTGTCTGTGTGTTCCGGATAATCTCCGAAACGACTTTACCGATTTAGACGGGACTTTCACTTGCAGATAGCTAATGTTATAAGGAGTAACCTAGGCTACTTTTATTTGAAAAAAAATATTAGGGTTCCGCGCAAAAAAAAAAATTAAAATTCATAAAATCTAATTGTCATAAATTCCACGCGGGTGAAGTTGCGGGGCACAGCTAGTATAAAATATAAATAACACTTTGAATGTCACTCTTATGTTTAATTTATCACTGTTTCGGAAAATACCTCTATCCTGGGAACCTGCAAGTAACCCATCGGAGGAATGTGGATTAGTAAGACGATATAGACTAATTAACACACCACGTGACGTTGAGGTGGAAGTATCTGATATTTAGGATACAAGATCCCTGACTAATACAAGTGGTAAAATTAAAAGTTTTGTACAACCGATTTCAATATAAATTATTAAGAATAACTCAAAAACTACTAGTCAGACCTTGATCAGATTTATATGGAACCACACGAAAAGCACTAGCTTTCAAATAAAAAACCTAGAAAAAAGTTATGAGGTAATACACAAATAGGGAAAAAAAGACTAAACATTGATAAAAATGATCTTTGAATATATTAAATCTAATAATAATAATAAGTTCTTTATTTCCAAAAGGTAGTACAACCAGATATTTGCTTAACACTTAATAAAGATAATTTGGTACATATATTTGAAACATAGCATCTGCAGCCGAACTAAGAGATGCAAGCAAAAGTTAATTAATTAATATTGTTTAACGAGTTTGTACCTTATGCTAACATAGCCTAGGTACATTGAAATTTAATGGATCACATGTTATGTTCCATATGCTAAGTTATTACTTACACCATATTATATAATATATATAAGGCACAAACAAGAAAATAATTAATACTAATAATGTCATTCCTCTCTCTTAAGATGTGTAATGTATAACTGTAAGAAGTATTTGTGTAATGAGTGTAATGTGTGTGAGCCATTTAAGGAGAGGAGTGTGTAAAATGTGTGACGTGAAACACCTCAATCACCCCCGTGATCATGTGTGCTGTAAAGTGGCGGAAACGTCATGAATTAGCAGTGGTAGAGCCACGCGGCAGCTTTTGCTGTTGCACGGATGGGCCGGCTTGAACCGGGACCGGGGCTGGAGGTGGTACCACGACCTCACAGAATACCAGCGTGAAGTAGAAGTTTACTTCTACATTTCGCCTGGTGAGTGCCCCCCCCCCCTTCATTGTAGCGGAGTTAAATCGAACAGGAAGGTACCAGCGACCTTGGTGACGGAGAATCCCTCGGTGAGCATCCACGCCTAAACTACCCTACTTTTTCTGAGCGTGGGTGCTCAGGCAGCCCCGCGTATTCTGGGGGCTGGGGGCGAAATTCCGCTCAAGACGAAAGCTGCTTGGGGCAAGCGGAGCAATGAGACAAAGGCAACCCCTGCCACGCATTCCGTGAATTTCTGCAATATCAGAGGACTTAATTCAAACCTTAAAGCCGTCCACTACCATCTGGAGATGGCAAAGCCGACCTTGCTCTTTCTAACCGATACACAGGTGTCCTCTCCGGCTGATACTTCGTATCTCTCCTACCCGGAGTACAAATTAGAACACTTCTTTGTGGCGCGGGCTGGAGTTTGCGTGTACGTCAGAGAGGACATCTGTTTTCGACGCCTCGGCAGTCTTGAAGGTACGGACCT